GGAAAGAGTCGTGTGGATGAAAGCGAGAGCTTGACCCTCGAGGGTATACGCAACTCTTTAATCCGACAAGAGGACAGCATTATATTTAGTCTCTTGGAGCGAGCTAAGTACTGTTATAATGCTGATACTTACGACCCTTCTGCTTTCGAAACGGATGGTTTCCACGGCTCTTTGGTTGAGTACATGGTGAAAGGAACTGAAAAGCTTCACGCTAAGGTACACAAACACATGTGAAGATGGTTTCTATGGAACATATGCTCGAAAAAATTTGTATTCTCAGTTTTTTTTAATGATATACTTGGTTTTCTCTTGATGATTGATTAGGTTGGCAGGTACAAGAGCCCTGATGAGCATCCGTTCTTCCCAGATGAACTTCCAGAGCCTATATTGCCACCTCTACAGTACCCAAAGGTGCTTATATAGTATCTGGATTTCTCTTTTCCCCCCAGGAAGTAGACATATCGAATTGTTTCTCAAAATCGACGGAGTATATCAAAATCTGAGTATCCCGAGACAATTTTTTGGGTTAATCTTTTGGTTTCCTTGTTTGACTAGATGATTAGTATCATTTAAGTTTCATGCTAATATTAACGTGTCATATATTTCCTCTAATCTAATAGGTGTTACACTCTGCTACTGATTCAATCAACTTAAACAAGAAGGTGTGGAACATGTACTTCCGAGACCTCGTCCCGCGACTGGTGGAGAAAGGGGATGACGGTAATTACGGATCAACAGCTGTTTGTGACACAATTTGCGTTCAGGTAACAGCTTCAGATACCTGCCAAATTTCGAAGTTCTGATCACACATTTGCAGGACAAACTCATGGAGCTTTTGAAGTGTCCTTGCAGGTTCTCTCGAAGAGAATCCATTACGGGAAATTCGTAGCGGAGGCGAAATTCCTCACCTCACCCGATGCATATGAGTTCGCCATAAAAGCACAAGTAGGTTTCATGATTTCATCTCTCTTACCCTTAGCTTCTAGAAACAGACCACACCCGAACCCAGGTGTCAACTGACATAAAGTTTTCGGCTTTCTTCTCTTTGGAAAAACCGAAACTTCAATTTCAGAGGTCGTTTCCTTACACGGTTTACTGACTGGACGGGCTTCTCCAATCTCTGTTGCAATGCTTGCGTTTCAGGACAGGGATAGACTAATGGACATGCTGACATTCCCGACAGTGGAAGAGGCCATCAAGAAGAGAGTAGAGATGAAAGCTCGAACATACGGGCAAGAAGTGAAGCTGGATGAGGCAGAGGAAGAAGAGGAAGAGAGAGAGTCTCCGGTGTACAAAATCAGCCCGAGCTTGGTGGCTGACTTGTACGGAGATTGGATCATGCCCTTGACAAAGGAGGTCCAGGTCGAGTACTTGCTCAGAAGACTCGACTGACTGAAAAAGTACATACAGACTCAAAGTGTGTCTCTGGTAATAAAGATTGAAGCTTTGAATGTAAATTAGTTACACACACCTATGCTGTGATGTCTGTTTTTTTTATTGTACAAAAGCTTGCAAGTAGTGTTTTCTGGTTTGTTTCCATGCTGTTTCACTTTCAACTCAACTTACCAGAACTGCTTGCCGTTTTCTGGCTAAGACGTGGGAAACAACGCAAAAAACGACACGCAGTGAGAGTCTAGAAACGAAAATAGTCTCTCACGATCAGATACACCTAACACAGGATCCCGAGTGTTTTGTGTTTTCCCTCCGTGGCTGCTTCTTCAGTCACTTGCCCACTTCCTCTTCTTACAGTAACCAAATCTCCCATCCCGTCCCGAATTCTCAATCGACCCAGGTTCCTCGACCCGACTCTGCTCCGGGCTTATGGAGCCCGGTGAACCGTGATTAGACCGAAGGCGGTCCAAGAAGGCGACCAGGGGACGACCAATGAAGTGATGAGCATCGACAATCTGCACCGATTCTTCGATATTAATAGCGGAAGATGGACTGGGTCTTTTCATGTCTTACAAACTCTAATCTCGAACCTGGGTCTTTCCAGTTTTCGTTGGCTTTGTTGAGAAATTCCCCCTTTTTTGCCTTTGGGTTGCAGCAATTTGATGGTGATGGGTATCTGTTGCATAAGATCGATACGCTGCTTTCGGTTAGGTCGTATGGAGAAGATGAGCTTATCAGCCTCAATCAATCGTATGATGGTTTTAGCGTGTCTCGTGTTTTCCTGAGTTATTGGAAGGAATTGCTTTGTGCTTCGCTGGGAATGAGTTTGATTATGAATTCTATTGACTTTGGTTTTATGGAGGGAATTTTGCAACGAAAAATTTTGCAACTTTATGAACTTGAAATGATGTATAAATCATACGAGATTCGCCCTACATATGGTGGATGACATGGGGTGAATCTGGACTCTGGAGCAAATCTGAACTGTTTCATGTGAATGAAGTTCTTGTCCCTTTGAGTACTTGAGAAAGGTTTCGTCAGGAAATGTTTCAGGTCTGCATAACATAACTGGTCTGTATCCTTTGCTAATCCTCTGTTATGTTTCTGTAGCCTCTACATAAAGCAACCGCCTTCCACCACTTCGATAGCGGAAGAAGAGGAGGAGCCTGAATGGGTAGAGTACAAAATAAAAGAAACTAATATGTTCACAGCAGGTGCATTGCTCTAACTCCTCAAGATTTGAGTTCTGAGTCTGATGTTGTTGTCTGGTGCAGAGTTGTTTGCTATTACCTTTGAGTATATATATTATTCATGTCTTTTTTTTCTAGAGATATCCATCATGACTTAGTCTGCAGATTGGATTTTTTTCCCAATGAGAGGGCATTTTCACTGAGGTATCAAACGGCTAGAATGTTGGAGACAGTTCTAAGGCAGGGAGTGCTAGGGGAAGGCAATACTGAAGAAGAATAACTGAGGTTAGTTTCTCAATTTTGGGGCAAATCTTTCATTTGGTTCATTTTATACTTAATGAAAACTGCTTGTATTCTCAGAAGACGGAGATGCTTCTTGCTTTCTGGAAATGCTTCTTGTTTTCCTTGAAGACAGAGGGGATCGGGTTCTCGTTCATCCTGCCCTCGGCAATTTTAAGGTGATCCTTTTTTGTAGCTGTTACACAAAGCTTATAACAAAGAGTTGTCCTCGTACAAGTTTAACTGAAAAACAGGAGCACTTGAATCATTGAATGTCCTTCTACAAATGTATGTTAATGACATTCAAGATTTTGTCTTTTCCTCTGTTTCAGGATGATGCAGAAAGGATTAACCCGTTTCTTGGCTCGTGGAAAGGTTAGTCATTGACGAAACGTAGCAGTGTCTACGGAGCAACGATAGCTGATACCGATACCACTTCTGTTCTTGAGATGGATGACAATGGTCAGCTGGTTCAGGTATCCAATATCTAATACATTTACCCTTTTTGATATTTGATGATCATATAGCTTTAATGTGAACCAGGATATTTCTTCAACATCATTGGGTGGGCACAAGATCCAATAACTTGGTTACATTCGAGGAAGGATACCAGATAACACTGTTTCCAGGAGGCATGTATATGGGATACTCTTGTGATATCGCAAAGAGCGCTGCTGAGTCTAAGTCCTCCCACCTGGAATTCTGCTGGCTTGAATCTCCCGGCACAAGGCAGAGACTTGTCCGTACACATGACATGGAAGGCTTAGCTGTCTCTTCGACTTATTTCTCTGAGATCAAACTGTAAGTTTCTTCTTCCTCTAGCCATGTATGTTCTTGTTTTGTCTGAGATGGCTGTAGTGTACTGTTGGAAATCTGTTCTTATTTTCTTGAAAGAACACAACTTTATGCCATCTAAGGATCAATTTAATTGATTAAATTGAATGTCACATATTGTATGCGGAAATTAAGTAAAAATGATATGAACTTGATACAAACAGAACGCATGAACGTGAGTTTCTTTTCTGCTGCCGAATGTGTATTTAAGCAAAGTTCCATTTGACTGAAGAAGACCTTTAAAGCAGGGTATTAGAGGAGCAATTATCATATAAAGCTTTAATTAGCTTTAGTACTAAAACCACCATCTAACCTCATATGTTTACATTAATATATACCTAATCGCATGTGTACATATAATATTGAATTAATAGTGTCTTGTCGGGATGTCTATTTTACTGAAAAATCTTGATAGTTAATGTTTTATGGACAACTTTGATAGATTAACTAACTAATCCACCTGAAATGAATTTAGCTTTTACCGGCCGTCACCAACAGCTCTGCTTCCCTCTCTGTAAGACAGGGAACAGAGAAAATGGTGAATGTACAGAGCTTCACTTCTAACGGCTAAATATTGTCTTTTTCTCTTTTTTGTAAGCACAAGAAAAAGAAAAAGATCACCCATTTTTGGTCCCACAAATCTCTCTCTCTCTCTCTCTCTCTCTCTCTGTTTTTAGCGGTTGTGTTTCGCAGCCTCCCCATGCCTCTCTTTTAGAAGAAAGACAACAAACAGAGAATTTTCTTTATTAATATTTCTGTCATGTGATTTTTCTTTTCTTTTTTCCCCTCTTTCCTCCTCGTTTTCTTTGTTCTTTTTGTATGCATACCCATTTGGTTTTCCTGGTCTAATGTGGGGTTGAATCCCCATATCTGACCCGTTTCCGGATCTGGGTTGGTGGTCTCAGCTCCTCCGGAAACCATTTTCTGAAGAATGGGTTGCATCAGCTCCAAGAGCACTGCCTGTCTGGAGGACCCAAATGGCTCACCCCCTGTCCATGACAGGGAGAATGCCCCGGGCATGATCTCTGGCTTCTCCTCGAAAAATGCATCAGGCCAACACCACCACCGTCTTGTTGATCATTCGTTGGAGGAGAGTTATGAAGACAGCCACATCAGGCGTTCGAGAAAGCCCAAGAAATCAGGGAGTTCTGATCTGAAGACCGGTGTGAGCCTGGTCTCCGGATTGTCTCATAGGAACATAGAGGCAGAGCAGGCTTCAGCCGGGTGGCCTGCCTGGCTTTGTTCCGCCGCTGCTGAGGCTGTCCATGGGTGGGTCCCCCTCAGGGCAGAGGCCTTCGAGAAGTTGGAGAAGGTACTGCCCAGTAACGCTTTGCTTTTTTTTTTGTTCAGGCATGGATGAAAGGACTTTGGCCTAATCCGATTGGGGGATGATATGCAATATTCAGCAACATTTTCCTTTCTTGCGTGTTGATGATGTTTGTAACTCTATATAGATTGGACAAGGAACATACAGCAGTGTATTCCGAGCACGGGAAGTAGAAACGGGTAAGATGGTTGCTCTGAAGAAGGTCAAGTTTGATAATTTCCAACCAGAGAGCATTAAGTTCATGGCAAGGGAGATTCTCATTTTACGGAAACTTGACCATCCTAATATCATTAAATTGGAGGGCATAATCACGTCACGAATGTCCAGCAGCATATACCTTGTCTTTGAGTATATGGAACACGATCTTTCCGGTTTATCATCCAGTCCTGACATCAAATTCACGGAGTCACAGGTATATTTTTCCATATTAGGTTCTCAGTTGATATTTTTCAAGTACCTGGAATCATTAGACAGAGCCATTTACTAAATGTGCTAGTGATTTTTGGTCCTTTCAAGCTGGATGGAGTTTCACAATCTTTTTTTTCTTTCTACATTAATAGATCAAGTGTTATATGAAGCAGCTACTACTGGGACTAGAGCATTGTCATTTACGAGGTGTGATACATCGGGACATTAAGGCATCGAACATTTTGGTAAACAATCAAGGGATTTTGAAGGTGGGAGATTTCGGGCTGGCAAATATAATCACACCTAGAAACAAGAACCAGCTGACTAGCCGTGTGGTGACGTTGTGGTATCGTGCTCCTGAGCTTCTGATGGGATCCATGAGTTACAGGGTTTCAGTTGATTTGTGGAGCGTGGGCTGTGTTTTTGCCGAAATCCTCATGGGAAAGCCTATCTTAAAGGGCAGAACCGAGGTAAGGAGGTTGCGTGCTTTAAATAATATGTTATGCAGCATTTTCTTTAATGGAAGCATGAGAATATGATTGTCCTAATGGGATTTAACCTCCATTGATCTAAAGTTTCGATCTTTAACCTTTTTTCCGCTCACAGATCGAACAGCTACACAAGATCTACAAACTCTGTGGATCTCCTCCAGATGACTTCTGGAAAAAGTGCAAGCTTCCTCAAGCAACTGTGTTCAAGCCACAGCATACTTATGAGAGCACCCTTCGAGATCGATGCAGCGAATTCACAGTAAACGCTGTGAATTTGTTAGAAACTTTTCTCTCGATAGAACCCGGGAAACGTGGGACTGCCTCCTCAGCACTTAATTCAGAGGTGATTCTTCTTCCCCGATGATGTTCTTGACCTTTTATCCGTCACTTCCCATGGTTTCACCACCCCAAGTTTCTAACTGATTTCCCATTTCTCCATTTTCTAGTACTTTCTAACGAAGCCTTATGCCTGTGATCCATCGTCCTTGCCAAAATATCCGCCTAACAAGGAGATAGATGCTAAACATCGTGAAGATTTGCGGAGGTAAAGATCTAATCTTTATCTGTTTCAAGATAAAACTCATGAAGCTTATTCAGATTCACCTGCCTAAATGCATACATCTTCCTAAGCTTTGTTTACATCAATCCGAAAACTCCCAAGACTATTCTCTTTGTTTCGGGAAGTAGTATTTCTCAAACTCGAAAGTGTTTCTTCGTTCTTACAGGAAAAAAGCCAGCATGAAGATGCGAGATTCCGGAGTTGGTAGGAAACATAGGAAACCACAAAAACCGGGACCCGAACCAAAGACTCACTCTAAACAACCTTCGAGACAGGTCTCTCTTTCTCTGTGTTTGCAACTCTTCAGTACATTTTTTCGTTTGGGTTTCTTCCAAGATTCAAGTTTCGACGTTTACGGTTTTGCAGGAGATGCAAGAAGAAAACCCATTTGCGCATAAGAGCAGCAATACACGCAGAGGAAGAGAGGCCGCACAACAAGACAAACCCTTTGACAAGACACCATCTGAGGCAGCCACCACGGCACAGGGCGACTACTACCTCTACTTGAACAATTCCCAAACCGCTGCACCAGCCAGCGGGTTTGCATGGGCCACGAAAAGACGGAAGAACAGCGACAACGTCTCTACTCTGACCTACAACCAGCCCAGCTCGAGAAGCCAGTTGAGCGGAACGAGCATTGCCTTTGCCAAGAACACTTTCGGGTTAAGCTTGAATGACAATGATGAGGAATCGATGAAGAAGGTGCAAGGCCGGGACCGTGCCCATCGTGGTGGTCATGTTTTGGCGGTTCCTAGCGAGCCGTTGAGTCGGATCGCCGAGCGGCGTGGGTCACACGATGGGTCTGGTCTGGATTTGAGTCATGGTCTGGTGAATGAACAGAGAGAGGACTCTCCAAAAAACAACTTGGTAAGTGTTCTTGACAATTCTGGTTTTGTGCTCAGGAACATTTACACTGGGGAATACAGAGCGTATCAGGACCGTTGGTTTTCCAATCGAACAAGATCGATGAGTTATTGCTAAGGAATGAAAGCCGTATCCGACGAGCCGCTAAAAAATCACAGCTCGAAAGAGGTGAAAAATATTAACCGGGATTAAACCGGAATTCTTCTGATAACCAAGCCGGTTCTCTAACCAAACTGGCTTCGGTTTCCTTGCAGAACCAGATGACCGAAGACAAAACAACTAAAACAACAGTTGTCAGGAGAGAGAATTCTTATCCATTATTTTTTTCGGCTCCGCTCTTTGTTATACGACGAGATCAATGAAGGAAATACGTATAAATACAAGAAAATTTGTTTTTGGCATCTCACCATTTCATCTCCGGCGCCTCGCCCTCCTTATATCGTTTCATCTTTATTGACCAGATAATATCCAACCTATTCCCACCCCTACACGGAGAAGGAACCATTGACAATTTTTGAACTAATTCATCATCATTATCATCAGATTGTAGATAATGTTACGAAAAGACAGACCATGGAAAGTCCTTCATTTCTCCGTCTTTGTCCTCTAAGCTCGCTCCTATGGTGTCTTGTTGCTTCGACTTTCGGATATCTTTGTCTAAACCTCTTTTTCTGATCAAGGCTCCAATAAACTATTCCGCTCCTCAGATCACGTCCCGTCAGGTATCCATCTTTTCTTCTTGAGATAGCTAAAATTTTGCTCTTCCTTGGCTTCCATCTCTGATGTCCCTTTTGCCCTTAATCTGTCCATGTTCGTGAGTTTGTCCTAAATCACAATCTAGGTTCAAATCTACGATCTGCAGGAGTTTGAACTGTTTTCAGACATCAACTTGTTTCAGAGAGAGGTTTGTAACAATGTACGAGTTCGGAAGCAGCATCTGATCAAAGCTCAGACATCTCTGTTTCATGAAAAGAAGGAAACAAGACAAATCTCTCCAACTGTATCGAGAATTCGAGTCTCGTGCAGAGTAAGATCTTACGGTTCGGAAGCTAGACCGGCCATGCAACAAGATTACACGTGATTATCTTGGAAAGGGGCAATGCAGCAGCATTACTGCTTTTTCTCTTCTGCTTTCCTAGGCTGCAAAATAACAATCTCCGAGACATCAAATTTCTGTACAACACTAAAAACGTAAAAACAATACAAAGACATGACACTAGCAAAGGTCTTGATTTGATGTTACAAGTAAAACAAAAGGCTTCAAACATTTATGTTCTACATTTATCCATTCTGCAACCATTGATTTCATTTACTCAAAATCTTCTCCTTTTGGATCCCACGAGAAATCTAGTGCAGTTATTGACATTCTATACGTGCAGAACACGAACAACACAATGCACGGAAGCAAAGCACGAACCTTGACACCAGGAGCCGGTTGGTGAAGCTCCTCGCCCGGGATGATGACAGGCCACTGCTCTCCCGCTTCACGGAACATCTGCTCGGTCTCAAGATACTGACCCTTATCCAGAATCATCTTTCTGATGGACTGAGCCGAGGTTGACGTCGCATCAAAGACCTCCTCAACCCCATTGACAAAAGTCACATGGATCTGTGGTGGGTGATCGTCGGTTCGGCGTTTGACCACGACCTGGCAAGCCGGGTTCGATTCTTTGGCCTTTGTTGCATTGCATTGAGCCAAGAACTCCATGCATGAGGCCAGTCGAGGGTCCAATGCATTGAACTCGATTCTTACTTTTGATAGAAACTTCAACATCCTTGACTTTCACTCTTTAATAGCAAACTTAGAGAAATGAACTCACAGCCACAGATCTGCGATGAACAAAGAAGCAAAACTCCTCATTCGTACAGATGAACAAAAATGCTAATCGAATAGCACTCAACCTGAAAGAAATAATCTCCAAAACGAAACAGAAACTTGTTGCAAAGAAGACAAACAAAATCTGATTGGATGTTATGGATTTTTTTGTATCAAACCTGGAAAACAAATTCTGTCCTCACCAAGACTTGTCCTCGGCCTCGAACGTCAGCTACACGGACTGATGCAGCTGTAGAGGAACAGAGGGATTCTTTTACTGCAGATGAAAATTCGGAGTATGAGATTAAATGAACTGGTGGAAACAAGACAGAAGAAGACGAGAGGGAAACAACGGCGCGAGGAGGAGAAGACGAAGAAGAAGAAGAGAAAGAGAGACTTACCGTCGGCGTGATCCGACGAGAGAGAGAGAAGCAGAGACAAGAGAGGGGTGGGGTGGCGATCGAGAGGGGAATTAGGTTACCACATTTCAATTTCAATTTCGATTTATGCATGCTGGGCCAACATTCACATGTAATGAGCCTAGGTTTTGGGCTTCTTCAACCGAAACCCTCTGATTCAGGCGGAGGCTGTACGGAATGAAAAATTGGGAATCGCGAAACTCTTCAGCGGTTGGATCGGATTTTGGAGGCCAGCTTTAAATACATGTTATGAAATCGATTTATTGTTTTATAGAATTGAAGCTTAAAGACCGTTCTTGAGATGGACAGAGACTGGAGAGAGCGAAGGCGAGGAGCAGATTGAGGAATAACTATCGGGGTAGCACCCCGAATCAAGACCGGTTTAAACCGGTTCGGTTAACCACATTTGAGGGTACGTTTAAACCGATCAGGATTTTGCATAGAGTGAGTTCGACCAAAAATGGCTACCTGCAAAGATATACAGAGAGAAGCAATATCCTGTCCCTAAGGGACATGACAGGTTCCGACATTATCCACGGCACTGAATCAGAGTCAGAAATGTCGGCCCGAAGAAAGGGGATGGATGCAATTATGGATACGTAGCTCAAAATCTATCTATCTTTCTGAGGTTAAAAAAAAAAAGAGTTGTGCAAAGAGATTTCAGTACCTGAAGCATGTTCTCTTTCTCTCATTTGTATTCAAGGAGGCGGTACTGGTCTCTGCTTTACCTCAAAAATGGCAGTGTCTAAATCCCCAAAATTAATGTTTGCAATCCCAGTCTATACTCTGATTCCCCCCCCCCCCAAAAAATCTTTTGAACCAACAGAATTCTCAGATGTGGTTTGGGTTAGAGCCACAGGAAAATGTCTGCTGTTATGAAATGATCCAAAATTTTGTTTTCCTCGCAAATACAGGGAGAGCATAACCCAGGAGCAGGAGAAGAAGCTCAACTTTAGCGCCAGAAGCGGCCAAGGAAGCTCTTCCCATCTTTCTTCATCCTGTTCTCAATGGACGGGAAATCAATGCAGTTGTAGGCCAGGTCTAGAACTATTGGATTACGCGGTATAGACTGGAACGCAGGTGGGAACCGTTCAATCTTTGTTGCGGTTTTCACGTTCGAATCACCGACTGCAGATTCATATACATCAAGTTTGTCTAAAAGGTAATCCTCCACCTGAACCAGATAGCGTCCGAGGTTAGTTAGCCATTAGAGCTCGAAAACAATAAAACAACAGAAGACGGTTGTTACCTTTGCAACTGTCTCATTTAGTGATATAGAGGAGATTTTCTTTGACAGTTTTTCAGGAGCTTTCTCCGCCTCCATAATTCCAAGTGCATGTTCTATGCAACAGTTAGCTCTGCTTTCTCTGCATAATGTTTCCAGTTCCTGGACCACTACCTGCAAGTTATAAAAAAAAATGTTGGTCAAATTCTTTTTTTTTTTTGAAGTATGTTCTAGTACAGTTACACTTATGGCTTGAAATTTCCTCAAGTAGTAGTATGATATATATATATCCCCCCCCCCCAAAAAAAAAAAAACTAAATCGTTGTGAAACCTACAGTAACAACCAACTTGCAGAAGCTATCGAGTGAGAATAAGATGCTTCGTAGGGGAGATCATAACTTCGTACTGCTAACATCGAGATTTGCATATATACCTCATCGTGACTTGCTGAACCTTGAAACTGATGTAGGGCCTCTTCAGCAAGAGACCGAGCATGACAATACAAGGCATATGCTTCAACTCTCTTCCCTGCTAGACTATATGACTTTGCCAAATAGAAACACCTGGAAAAAATAATTCCAAAAGCACATGACTTGTGAATTCAACGAAGAGAAATAAAAACTAGACCAATCTATAGAGATCCTACAGCACTATTTTCGCAAAAGCCAGGTGCCAGGAATTTGTTAGTTAAAAACACCTATTTTGTGTAACAAGTGGGTCATATGCCCATATGATTATTCTCTTGATCACTTACAGCGGAGAAGAATGTGGGAAGATGACTGGAAGTCCTACATATGTGAGTATTGTAATAATGAAGCATGAACTAGGAACCGGAAAAAGGATTACAGGGGTTTATGCTACGCAACTTCGATCAAGCATCATGTGACAAGATCATGACAGGCCAAAACTTAAGTACCCAGAATGAGAAAAGCAAAGTGTGGGGAGAGTTGAACCTTTCAGCACGGAAGGCCAAACTTTTTCGCTCACACTCTTCTGCAAAGGCAATCTCTTCAGGTTTCCTATCTCTTCCTGAGCTGATAAGATCTGAGAGATCGGCCACACTCTACCAAAAAAGGAAAAAAGTGACGTACAAGGTTTCCCTTTTTATTTAAAACGAAAAGAACATTTCTGAAGAAAAACAAGTGTGTGAGTGGTGGTCACCTGTAATAGAAGGTCATACAACCGAACAAGCTCCTCAGGCTTAGTGACCTTTTCACTTTTGTCATCGCGTCTCTTGTTCAGCTTACTCTTTGCAACGTTAATCAACAACTGGTTCCGTTCGATGGTTCTTTGTCCTAATATGGCATTAACAGCTTTATCCAAACCATTTAGGTCATCTTTCACAGTTTCCGAATTTCCTGCACTCACCTGAATATATCGCATTCGTTAGTACATCAATAATCAATTAAAGAAAGAAAATTTTCTTTATCACAATCTTTCAAGTTCCTAACCACTCCAAAGAACCCAAATTGTACTAACCAAGTCACTACGGATGGTGTTCCTGGCGTCAAGGTATGCAGAGAAAATCTTATCGAATATGGTTAGCTTTTTCTCAGCAGGGAGGGAGCCTGCTGTTTGACCATGGAGCTCCTTCTCAAGTTCCTGGGCTGAAACAATAATAACAGAATAAAAGCCTCAGTGTGGCCTCAAAGCCCGAGGCTGACAAACAAGGGTAAAACAGAACACTGAACTTGGTTGTCAGCATAAAACCTAACCTTTTCTGGTTTAGAGACTTTGTCAACCTCAAATAACGTGTCAGCTTAAGAAGTAAATCTGACCTTTCAAAATTGAAACCCGGGTTTTTGCATTGAAAACTGGAAATCTATGGCCAAGCCAGTTGAACTCTGTTAAAGATGCTGCTTGTTGAGATCTTGCTTCTTCCATCGCAGCCTACTTTATGTGCAATGCATCATATTAAAAGAAGAAAAACCAATGACAACACATTCAGGAGCAACCATGTTTCGTATGCATGTCATATTTTGATATGTGGTTGTGGGTCAAAGCAAGAAGACAGACCCTTGTAACGGATGGGGAAACTAGCACATGAAAACATTGACTGCAGTGCAGCAATGATGAGAATCGTTTTAAAATTTAGTAGTTCTAGTGACCCAGTTGCTTTGATGGCATATAAAAGATTCGTTGATGTTTTGTGATTGAAATTATTCGCATTTACCTCTAATTTTGCTTTAAAGAGGTCCAATGGGCCTTCCATCTCACCAATCTGAAGAAGCTCAGAGGTCTGCAAGTTTGAATTGCCAATTTTGTGCATGCAGTATCGAATACTCGGTTCGAGCTCCTCAACCCGTTCACGGCAAAGAACTTGATTCTCTAGATCTCCATATTTCCCAAGTTCCTCATAAACAGCCCTGTCACACAAGACGTCTCAGACACAAGTATTAGCAAACAGCAAGTTTAGGGTGTTGTACAAGGACAAACCTGGCACTTTTGAAACACGTCAACGCAGTCTCCCAATTTTGATCTTGCTCAAATAACAAATTACCTTTCATATAGGATGCATAGGCCTACAAATCAGACACATAAATCTTAGAGATAAATACATTTATTGTGTTTACAGAGGAGATATCTATAAGTTGCACAAAGAACAAATAAACTAGAAGCACACATATTCCTCTCTCTCTCTTGATATGTTAAATAGACGAGCAACAAGAATTTCAGAGTTCCAGACACACCTCAGCTTCCAAAGATGATCTGGAGTCTGCTTTGATAGAACATAAGTTTGAGAAAAGCAGAGCCCATTTGACTGCCTTCCTCAGCCTACCAATCAAATAGATACGCTGGCGCGCGTTTGGACCATCTGGCAGTTGTCTTTTCTCCATGGCATGACTCCATGCCCTCTCCGCCATATAAAAGACCACATGAAGAAACCTATTTTAAATCCATGACACAATATTAGGCAAATTATAAGCATGAGATATCAGTTTACCGCCTACTGCATAGTCTCTACAGGCTGTGGAAACAACTAGTGAGCCTATCATAGGCATCAAACCTGTCCTAACCTTTAGTGTTCAGCTAAACTCAAGATCAAACTGCCCCAGAAATTTCAGTGACACCATCTGGCAAATGGGATCAGGATGAAAGAGCAGTGGAAATACCTAACATCAGTGACAGTGGATTCGCCTATGGATCGTCGGGTGTATTTACTACGGCCATGAGTGAACTTCAATGACTTATACAACCTCCTCAACCGCGCAGTGCAATACCTCCTATGCGGCGAAAAAAATGAACAGAACAACGATGATCGTTGAATACTTTCTAACCCTAATAAGCCAGTGAATTTCAGATTTTGTGTTCCTACCGATAACGACTGTAGTCCCCATGACGCAGACCGTGCTGCATCTGAGAAGATTTCAGCAGTTGTAGAACTGAAAAAACCAAATGAAATATTATATTACCTGAATTTGCGTGTATGCGTGTATATGCACAGAGGAATGACTAGGAAATGGAAGGACTTCCGAAATTAGGCTAGAAAACACAGAACCCGATCATCCTAAAAAGACCCAGAAAACCCAACAGAGAAATATTGCATTGCGCGAGAAATCTAACCATTGATCGAGAACCTTGGAACGATCTGGTCAGCATTGTTGGATTTCAGATCGTCGATCTCCATGGAAGATACCTCGCTCTCCTTCTTCCCCATTGACCAAGGAGTTCTACAAAATCCGAATCGTAAAACAACACACAAATAAGAGAAAATATACTAGGGAAAATTGCTTGAATACTTATAACGAATTAGTAAATGTCAAATTTAAAGCTCATTAATCCTTATATCAGCAGTTCTTCAGTACGGAGCAGAAATATATATTAAGAGCAACCCTAACTTTGTGCTTAAGCAGAAAAGCCAGCAATTACAAGAGCAAGTAACCCACAACATCACAGACTCGAAGGAGAAGAGGAATATACCGAAACAGTGCGCGAGGGGGAGAAGACGAAGGAAAATGCAGACACAGACACGAATATGGTTTCCCGAAGAGGAAGAAACAATAGACTCGAAGGAAAAAAAGACTATACCCAAACACAGATACAGACACGAATAAGGTTTCCCGAAGCAGAAAATGCAATGAGCCTCTGTGGGTAAATCTTCGGGAAACATGACTATACCGAAACAAAGCGCGGGGAGGAGAAGAAGAGAGAGGTGGCCATCTTCGACAGAGAGAGAGACGAGTCGAGACGAGAATCGAGGAGGAGAATACGAAGAAGAAGGAGGAGGAGGACACGACTTACCGGCGAGCACAAATCGCTGGAGGCAAACGAGAGACAGGGATCGTGGGGCGGTGGTCGTGGATGGAGAAGAAGGCAGTGAACAAATTGGATTAGGTTAGGGTTTGTTTTTTTATTTAAAAAAAAACGGAACAGCGAAATTGGAACTGATCCCCCCTTCTCTCTTCTTCTCTACGAGCCTCGTCCCGCTTTTGGATTACAAGAACTTAGCTGCTGCTGATAATCTGGAGTTCAAATCTTAACAAGAACCAATGAATCAAGCAAATAGTTAAGTAGCGATTTTCAGCGGGGACGAAGATCCATCGGAGTTAAACCCTCACCGGAGCAAATCAACCCAAAGCAAAGAGCACAAAAATCTACAGATATAAGCATCTCAAGCCAAATATTACGCCAATCAACTCGATGATGGTTTCACGAATCTACACATCCAACTGATTCGAGGTGAAAAAAAGATCCCAGGAACCAAAACAAAAAACTGCAGAAAGAAAGAGGATCATAACAAACATTTCAAGGACCACAAAGAGTTAATCATCCATCAAGGTAATCACCTGAAGAAAATTCGTAGCGTTACCGGAACAGAGAATTCGATCGCCCAAGTCCGGCGACAACAACGAGCGGAGAGGAAATGTAGAGAAACAGCGACGGGAATTGCGGGTGGAAGAGAGGGGGGGGGGTGGTCGGCCTTTGGGCCTTGTTTTCGCGAATACCCTTAAAAGTTAAAACTCTTACTTTCAATTTCGATATCTGCATAACGGGCCGACATTCACGTATGGGCTCGTTTAACCGAAACCCTCTGATTGAGAGGGAAGCTCCACGGGAAATGCAAAATCATATAAACCTAACTTAAAAGAGAGTTTTTTGTCCGACAATATTTGTACCCAAAGGGTAAAAGAAGGGATATAAAACCATTCATTTGAATGTAAAAACTGCGTTCTATAATTTAAAAAAAATAAATAAATTAATTGAATAAAAATAACTAAAAATGTTAAGAATCCAAACTCTAACTCAGAATCAAAATTCAATATAAAATATGTATTAAAAATTTTAAATTAAGAATCCAAACTAAAATGCTAACAACATATTTAATTTAATCTGAATTACAAGAGAAAAAAAACACAAACTAATAAAATTTTTATTGAGTATAGGAAGAAAGATACTCAAGTGGTCATGCATCCGATACCGTACCTAGTGGTCGGAAAAACAAGGAACAGAGCACTACACACAACTCCGACCATCAAAGGGAAACTTTCCATCACTTGTTCCATTTCCTTCTCTTTCCCGGGAAACAAACATCTCGTCACCCTTCGATCTGAAAACGCAATCGCCATGAACACCATCACGCTCATCACCGCATGCACGAAATCGTTCACCTTCAACTTGTACCTCTCGTCGTTCACCGGAATCTCCGCCGGAATCTCCCCCTCCGCCGCCGGAGGCGGCGCCATGAACACGGCCAATCCCCTCGGAGTCACGAACCCGTAATAGATCTTCCCGTCTCCGGCCTTGAAACTGTCCGTGAAATGGAACAAGAAACAAGAGAGAGAGCAAAGAACCAAGAGCAAGGTGATCATGAGGGTGTTGACGCCGTTACATTCTCCGTCACGGTATATTGACGGCAGAACCATCTCGAACATTAGGAGAGTTCCGGTCGGGAGGAAGTTGACGAGCATCGACGTCTTCGATACCGTTTTCTGGACTCCCTTCGCCACCATTCGACGTTTCCGGCCTCTGCCTCCGCCGCCGGCGGCTCCGGCAGGGGGGGACGGTAGTTGGGAGATCGGAATCGACTTCGGAGATCGTGACGACGATGATTTCTGCGGCGGAGTCGCCGTGTAGACTCTGATTCCGACACTTTCCTCTGTTTTCTCCATAGTATCTGTTTTTTTTTTTCGCTTTTTCGTTAAACACTAAGCATTCACTAATCAGAGAAATTAAGTGTAATGACTGTTCAATGATGACTTTTATAGTGATGTGTTGCTTTTAAAAAAAGGCTTAATGACGGTTATTGGCGGTTAATTCCAACGCTTAAAAAGAGGGAAGGGTAAAAATGGTATTTGTCAAGACAACTTCCCGTTAGTCTAAAAGTGTACGGTTTTTTTTTGCTCTGATTTCTTTCGGACATAACAGATGATATGGTTCGGTTCTCTGTTTCAACCGCTAATTCCAACGGTTATTCGAATTTGAACTCCAGGAAGGATCAGTTGCTTCTCTTCCTCAAGCTCTGTTCTTCGATCAAACATCTCTTGCAAATCCATGCCCAGATCCTGATATCTGGTCTCCACTCTGATTCTTTCCTCCTCGGCGAGCTCGTTCGTGTCTTGTCGCTATCCGCTTGCAAAAACCTCCGGTATGCTCGTGCCCTTTTGTGTCATTCGGCGGATTCCACGCCGTTTTTGTGGAATACCCTTATCCGAGGGTATTCATCCACTGATTCACCTGGAGAAGCGGTGTGTGTGTATAACGAGATGAAGAGGAGAGGAATCAGACCGGATAATTTCACTTTCCCTTTTCTTCTAAAAGCTTGTGCTTCGTGTTTCGGTCTGACTGCTGGAAGACAGGTACATGTTGAGGTTCTAAAACATGGGTTTGATTCTGATATGTATGTTGGGAACAATTTGATTCATTTTTATGGATCTTGTAAGAAGATTTCCAGTGCGAGGAAAGTGTTTGAGGAAATGCCTGACAGAAGTATTGTTTCGTGGAATTCTCTGATTACCGCTTGTGTTGAGCAGGGTAAGCCTGATTATGCGATCGAGTATTTTCTTGGCATGATGAGTCGCGGGTTTATGCCGAATGAGATGACAATGGTTGTTGTACTTTCTGCTTGTGTTGGCAACTTGACCATTGGGAAGTTGGTTCATTCCCAAGTCATCACGAGAGGTTTAGAGATCAATATTCAATTGGGTACTGCTCTAGTTGACATGTATGGAAAATCCGGTGGTCTAGGTTATGCAAGGTGCATTTTTACGAGAATGGGTGAGAGAAACGTTAGGACTTGGAATGCGATGATACTCGGGTTAGCACAAAACGGACTTGCTGATGAAGCTCTTGAGCTTTTCTCCGTTATGGCGAAAAAGTCGTCGGTGAAACCAAATGATGTGACCTTTCTTGGTGTTTTATGTGCCTGTAGCCATTCGGGTTTAGTGGACCAGGGTTACAAGTACTTTCATGAAATGGAGCACGGGCACAAGATTAAGCCAGGAATTACGCACTACGGTGCCATGGTAGATATGTTGGGTCGTGCAGGTCGTTTAAATGAAGCTTACACCTTTGTAAAAAAGATGCCTATTGTGCCCGGTCCCATCGTTTGGAGGACTCTACTTAGCGCTTTTAGCATCCATCATGATAAAGATAATCAAGGAATCGGTGAGAAGGTAAGAAAGAAACTGCTTGAATTGGAACCGAGAAATAGTAGCAACTTTGTGATCATGGCAAACATGTTAGCGGGTGCCGGGATGTGGGATGAAGCTGCTCATGTGAGGAGGGTACTGGACAATGACAAGATGAAGAAGATGGTCGGGGAGAGCTGTCTCGAGCTCGGAGGTGCTGTCTTCATTTTTTTTTCTGGGTATGATTCCCGTCCGGATTATGTATGTATCTATGAGTTGCTAGATTGGTTGAACCTGCACTCAAGAACTATGAATGCCTTTTTATGAAGGGAAGTTGAAACCTTCCAATTCAACGAGTTTAAAACTTTGTTTTGTTATTACACATTTTTTCTTATATTTGAAAAATCTTACTGTAAATCTAAGGTTTATAAATAGTTTGAGAAGCAATATAGATATAGTATAGATGTCAAAGTACAGAAAGAAATCATTTATGATCACAAGATCACATCAATTGTTGTCAAGTGTATCTTCAACAAATCTAATAATTCATAGATGCATACAAAGGCAGGATGAGGATCATATCCTGAAAAGAATCTATGAACAGACCCTCCAAGCTCGAGACAGCTCTCTCCAGCCATTTTCTTCATCTTCTCATCCTTCATAACTCTCCTCACTTTAGCCGCCTCATCCCACATCCCGGCCTCAGCAAACATATTAGCAACAATCACAAAATTCCCGCCCCTTTTCGGTTCTAATTCAAGCAATCTCTTACTCACCTTCTCACTGATTCCTTCACCGTCTTTATCGGGATGTATGCTGCACGAGCTGAGAAGAGTCCTCCACACGATGGCATCAGGCTCCGTAGGCATTTTCTTTATGAAATCGTACGCTTCGTTTAGAAGACCAGCACGTCCTAAGATATCGACCATTGCACCATAATGAACCATCATCGGCTTGATCTTGTGTTTGTGCTCCATCTCATGGAAGTATTTGTACCCGTCCTCCACCAAACCCGCGTGGCTACAAGCGCATAAAACACCGAGAAATGTCACATAGTTTGGTTTAACCAACGTTTCCTTCCTCATCGTCGAGAAAAGCTCAAGGGCTTCTTCAGCAAATCCATATTGTGCCAATCCCAGAATCATCGCACTCCAAGTCCAAACATTTTTCTCATCTGTTCTCACGAAAACGGACCTAGCGTAATCTAAACCACCGGCCTTTGCGTACATGTCAACGAGGGCAGTACCTAATCGGCAATTCAACTCTAACCCTCTTGTGATCTCTTGGGAATGTACCAATTTCCCCATGCTCAAGTTGGCATCACAGGCAGAGAGCATTACCACCATTGTTGTCTCATCCGGATGAAACCCACAATCCATCATCTCGAGAAAGTACGAAATCCCAAAATCGAACTTATTGTTCTCCACGAGAGAAGTCATCACAGAGTTCCACGAAACAACGTTCCTCTCAAGCATTTCGTCGAACACTTTCCTCGCGTCCGAAGTTTTATTACAAGAGCCGTAGAAATGGATCAAGTTGTTTCCGACATAGACATCAGAATCGAACCCAAGCTTCAAAACCTCAACTTGAATCTGTCTACCTGCCGCGAGACCGAAAAACGATGCGCACGCCTTGAGAAGAAACGGGAAAGTAAGCTTGTTCGGTCTAATTCCTCTTTTCTTCATCTCACAGTAAACCCGAATCGATTCGACAGGGGAATCGCTCGAAGAATAGCCTCTGCTAAGCATATTCCAAGTAGAAGGAGTTGAATCCAAAGAACCAAACAAGAGGGTTCGTGCATAGGCGAGATCTTTCGCGGGAGATAAGGAGGAGACACGTACGAGTTCGCTGAGGACAAAGGTGTCGGATTGGAGACCGGAGATGAGGATCTGGGCATGGATTTGCAAGAGATGTTTTATGGAGGAACAGAGCTTGAGGAAGACAAGACACTGGTGTTTCTTGGAGGCGAAGTTTGAAGTACTGAAATTGGCGGTTGAAGCTGAAGATCGGACCATATCGCTCTGTAAATTGGCTACTGATGCAGAAACTACCGTTTTACTTATTTAGATACATGATGCACCACCCATCATATTATTTCATAAAAGCAGTATAACATACATGCATACATACATACATGCATACATACATACATGCATGCATGCATTCAGCTCTGATTCTTATTAGTCACTGAACCAAAACCATCCATACTTCTTCATCAACATCACATTACATATTCATACATTTCACACTTTTCACCAGAATATAACACACGCTCTCTTAACAATGGCCGTTTTTTTTTTACGTGTATATATATATATATATATATATATATATATATATATATATATACACCTTTATTTATAAATCGTTTAAGGGGTCATCTTTGATATGTTCACCGTTATTCCTCATACTACTACGAAGCTTGAAAGAGAGAGACCCCGGAGCAATGGCTGGGACAGGCTTTTTTTTCTACCGCAACTGTGAGCGCTCTCTCTCTCTATCTCTCTTTCTGTGTCAGATTTCATCTGGGATTTACTTGAAGAGAGTATTTGAACAGTCGTGTTTTAGATTCATGCACTCAATGGCTGGGACAGGCTTGTCTGTGACTCGGATAAGACTGTAACAGTAAGCACCAGATAATGTTCCGACCACTGGTCCAACAATGTAGACCCATAGCCCCTTGTAGCACGTGCTAGCGATTGCTGGTCCGATGGTCCTTGCCGGATTCATCGACCCTCCCGAGACCGGCCTGCTCATCATCAAACCCAGCTTTTCATCAGTCTCTCACAATGACATGGAAACAATTTTCTTATATCATTACAAGAAAAAGATCATAAATTTTTTGTAAATATCTGATCTATGATCATCAGTTTCTTACCCTGCCAAGATCGATGTGATGCAGACAGCAGATCCAACAGCGATGCCCGCAAGCTCTCCGACCTGTATAATCATGAACTAATATTCTCTATAAAAATCTTCTTTTTGTTTGATCAAAGCGACGATTAAAAAAAAAAGATTTCTTTTACGGCTCGGGTATCGGTGGCAACGGCAGAAGTGATGAACATCATGGAGAATGTCACGACGATCTCCATGATCAGAGCTTGGACATCTGAACCAGAAGGTGTTGTCGTTCCGACATGCTTGATCGGATGCAATAACACTCTCAGCGTCGCTGCCGCCGAGATCGAGCCTGCTAGCTGCGCCGCCGCGTAAACCGGTACCTACCCACCACCGGAAAATTGTAAAGATCGAAACTTTTTTTTTTCAGGTTAGGATTTGTTACTTTGTGGTCAGGATTTATTTAATATTGTCGCTACTTGATTGTCCCTTCTCCTGAAAACGAACAGCAAGATCATATGATGAAAGGGCACATGCATGCATGGGCTCTTGTGATGGGTAGATCACTAACATCATTAACTATTTTGTCTGAAGAAATAATTGTATGTACGTATATATGTATATGTAATTATACGGTCTCTTTCAATATATAATCATATATGTGTATTGATCAAAAATCAATTATATACGGCTCAATTTCCCCCAAACCAATGCGTCGGTTATCATCCACGGACGATATGTCAATTTCTATACGGAGGGGCCGGTCGATGCATATAAATAACCTGACCGATGGTCCTAACCACTCCTACCGTTTTTCATCCCCATTCTGTGGTCCATCATCACTTTAGGACATGTAAAAATTCCAAATGAGTTCCATGAAAGAAAATAATAATGCCAAATGAATAACAATATTAGGCCCTCAAAATTACCCAATTTTTTTATATTCGAATGATCGGGAAACATCTCCTTTTTTTTTTTTATCAAATTCCTTGAATGCTCTATTTTTTACAAAAAATCCGATTGAAATTCGAGATCCACAGATATAAAAACCAAAATCTTATCGCCTCACATTTTCTATTAAAAGTTTCGTTCGGGCAAATTAGGGGTCTAATTCTAATCACAGCTAAAAAAAACGTTATTACCAAGACTTGTCCGAAAATAAATGTATGTATGCATGTATGTAATGAAAAATACCTGTTTCCAGGGGAAATGTCGGACGGCGGCGAAGGCAAGAGTGACGGCGGGGTTCATGTGGGCGCCGGAGACATGACCGACGGCGTAAATCATGACGGTGACGACCAATCCTCCGGCGACCGAAGCTCCGAGCTTTGACACTTTATGTTCATCACTTTCACTTATTGCAGCACTCCCACATGTCACAAATACCAACATATATGTCGCAATTATCTCCGCAATCACCTGTTCCAAACAAACAAACAAAAAAAAACTTCTCTCATGGTGCGTTACGAAATTTTCTCGGGAAACAAACAGAAAATATAAAACCCATGTTTTACCTTTCTGTGGAAACCAGGAGGGTAATAATACGCGTTTGGTTTATGATCATGATCATGATCATGATGAGATGTTTGGTCCGACGACGATGATGAAGCTTCCATGTCTTGATCTGCTAGGTACTCCGGTTTTGTTATTGGGATTTTTCCATTTTCGCTTTCTATGCTCTGATTTGATTAAATGTTCTGACAAAACGAAAAAAAAAAGGACGATATATATATATATATATTATTTTATCGGGTGTCATTTTTTCCGTCGGTCCGTTTTCGTTAAAATATTTAAATAGTCTTATTTCGTAAAAAAAAAACAATTATGGCAATATCGAGTATCATTTTAAAACTAGAGAAATTTCTTTTATCAGATTGAGGTTTTTAAAGGATTATTTACCGTTGGGTTTTTTCTTTGAGGTGGGACCTGTGTGGTTTGATTTTAATTGAATCAAATCATATTTGATAGAAATTCGAAATATTTAACAACCATTTGGGTATAAGTTTTCTAAAATACAATTATCTAAACCCAAGTTTAATAGAAAAATAACCGAAAAACATAATCTAAACAAATTTCTTTAAAAATTACATAATGGAGCTAAATGCGAATAGAATATGAATTGGAGCGAAAATCGATATCAAAACAATTTGGATGTAATAATAGAGAATGAATTAAAAAAAATAATCTAATCAATATATAACATAAATTTGAATTGTATCTCGAGTTTTATTTATACAATTGTACTATACTCTTTAGATTATTTTTCAAACTGAAATTAAAAAAAAAAGCAAGTAAATTCTATTTGAATCAAACAAACGTAGTCTATATAATATGACGATAACAAATAATTGCGAACAACGGCACGAGGTCGTTTCCAAGGCTCTTTGCAACATCTTAAATAGTCATGTGCATATATTCTAAACCACATATATATATATATATATGTGTGTGTGTGTGTGTGTGATCATATATATATATATATATATATAAAATAAAAATTTTAAATATCGGAGATATATTTAAAACTTGGCATATTTCGATATAGTTTATCATAAGTTTGATTTCAAGATTCTAAATTTTCGGTGTGGATAAATATCATCATACCCATGATAGGTGTACATGAAACTGTTGGCAACCACACGACTCTTTGCCATTTAATTTATTTGATTTAGTATCTCGGATTGGATAATGATGATTTGTATAATTGCATCGTGATTGAATAGTCATTTCATTAATCATTAGCTTAATCTTCACATGCACCGACAAGCCCATATATATATATATATATATATATATATATATATATATTGTGTACTTTAGTGATTTGGTATTTACGAGTATCCGGGGTACGGGTATCCGGAATAATAGTCGGGTACTCGCGGATATCCGGATCCGGATTTATTTAAGAAAAACAACAATATTCATATATAAAATTTTTAAAACATGAAGATATATTTATAAAAATTGATGAATTATGATAAAATATATAAAACAAAAGAGATAATAAGAGACAAATAATAATAAATTTAATTTTTTTGAATTAATATTAAAAAAATATGAAATTATTTCATCTAAAATAATTGTATTTTATAAAAATGTTATATAAATATAAGATATAATTATTTATAATTATAATACGCGGATACCCGCGGGTATCCGGTTTTAAAAATTCTATTATCCGGATTTGGATCCGGATTCACGGATATTAAAAAATCAGGATTTGGATTCGGATTTGAAAATTACGAGTACCCTAAAATCGGGTATCCGTGAGACGAGTATCCGACGGATACCCGATTTTCGGGTATTTGTGCCCAGCCCTAACGGTTCCCTCTCGACTCAAACCAAACCGGCGAGAAAACAGAGGAAAAATATTTGGTCTAGAACCCTAGAAAGCAGAGAAGGAAAATAGAGTATTTTCTAGATAAATACGCATTCACCTATACATACACATGTATGTGTATATACACGTGTATTGAAAGTTCGCTACAACAACCATCCGTGCAATTATACTCTCTACTCTTTATATTTCCTTCCATGTTTCAAGTCCATGGAAAATCATCTCAACTTCTTCTTCGAAATCGCCGGAGGAAAACAAAACGCGACGGAGGATGAGCGGCTCTACTGCGACGGCGCACGATGTCTTCGTCTACGGCAGCTCCATTGATCCCGACGTCATTCGGATCCTTCTCGATCGAGTCCCTGAAGCCATCTCCTCCGTTCTCCCCGGCTTGTACTTCCCTCTCTCTATCGCTCGATCGATTTAGGGTTTTTGGTGGGTTTCGTTGAGATTCATGGCGATTTCTGTGGTTTTGCAGTCACAGGTTTAGAATCAAAGGCCGTTTGCATCCCGGTCTCGCACCGGTCGACACCGGAAAAGTCGTCGGCAAGGTTTGTCTCACTAACCCTTTTGCTTGTATCTCTTGTTCTTCGCTTGGGAACGATCAGGAAGCCATTGGAGAAAAATCGAGGATTTTTGTGAGTAAAGAGCGATTTTCTTGTGGGGATTTTGCGTGTTTCAGAAGAGGGTCCGTTGATGATCTTTGTGATGGTGTTGGGTGCAGGTGCTGAAGGGATTAACAGATGATGAAGTAAAGATTCTAGATTTGCTCAAGGGTCCTGATTACGAGAGGAAGATGGTTGAGGTTGAATTGACAGTAAGTCTGAATCGAACAATCTCTGACTTAGGAACTTAGGTTTGCTCTGTCATGCCATATTTGATGCAAACAAAAGTTGGAGCCTTTATCCTATGCAGGATACATCTGAGAAGCTTCAAGCCGAAAGCTATGTCTGGGCCAAGAAAGATGACCCTGATCTCTACGGCGAATGGGATTTTGAGGTTAGATTGCTCGAGTTTTCTCCAAGTGGTTGATTGATTGAGTCTTCATCCAGTTTTATTTTTATAATCCAAAAGTTTACCTAACCTTCGGCCAAACTATATCTTTCAAAAGATCAGAGAATTCAGGTGAATATCCCTCCTCTCTTCAGATGGAAACTCGAACTTGGGAGAAGGAGTTTTGGTCAATACTTACCAATTGAGCCATCCAATGTAGAGTGTCTTCCATCGAGTCATTATGATTAATATGGTTTTTGTTCGGTTGTCTGCCTGCAAGGAATGGAAACTGCTCCACAAGGATCAGTTTGTAATGGCGGTGAAGAGCTTCAATGTATGGAAGAAAGATCCGGAAGAGAAGACAGAGGTTGGATTCATATGAGCATTTTGTTCGAGAAGATGATGCGTCGTCTTGATCTGTTCAGTCATTGCCCCGACCGCATTGATGCAATCTGATCATGAGATCAGTGTTTCTCAATAAGAACGTAAGTCTAATGTGTGTGTGTATGTGTCTTGTAAGTTTAATCGAACTAACGATTCAATAGTAAGCTTCATTTTCATAATCAAATCGAGCTATACGAAGATGAAAGATCAGCCGGATTAAATATATATATATATATATATATATATATATATTAAAGTTTTAACTGTTTAAATTGGTAGATTTAAAATTAGTTAAATTTATCCAAGTTTGGTTGGTCTAATGGTACGAGAGATGTAAAGAATGTTCTTATTCTAGTTTAAATCTAAGTGTGGAGAGAGATATTCACTAGAAGTTTCGGATTATAAAAAAATAGGTAAATTTGATATACCTGTGCATACTTTATATTATACATATTATACACACATATTCTATAATATATACACGTATGTATAGATGGATACCTCGCTCCAACAATGGTCCGGAGAAAATCCAAGGTTCAAATCAAAGCAACCCAAAGATTGAGTTCAAAAAATACTAACCAAAACCCTAAGCCGTTGACGTGTTCTTTTCACTTCTCCATCTTGCTCCTTGGATTTCTCATCAGTTAGTTCTCATCTCAATATCTTTCATGCATCGTCTCGTTTTCGATTTCACTAATGTTTTTTTAAAAAAAAATTAAGGTGAAAAGTCCCTTTTACTCGCTCTTTTTTCCAGTTGCTGATTCTCTACACTTCTGTTCCGCATGAGTTTTCAAACGAAGAAATTAGGGTTTTCATGAAAAATATTCCAGGAAAAAAAAGCGACCCATGAACGAAACACATGATTGTTCCGAAGAAATTTATTACAGAAACTCGGTTTTATTTTCTGCATTTGATACCTGATCATGTCGGTTTCGGATCTGTTTCTGTCTTTCCATCGGACAAATCTGCTTCGTCTTCTTCCTATCGCTACTTCAGGTACTTTTGTTTTTGCACTGTTTCCTTTTCCTTGTGTTACCTTAACAAAAATATGGAAAGTATTCTTTTTTTTTTGTCTTTCCCACATATAAAAAGCTTTTCTTTTTCCAAAAAGGAAACGCATCTTTCCCTGGCGATTGATTCTGGTTTATACATATACAGAGTGTTTACAGAGATACAAGAGCTCAGACACCGGCGCTTCGAAAGAGCCGATATTCTTCTCCAATGGGTACCGAAACAGATGATGAACAACAAGAAACCGACATGGTCGAGTTAGAGAATTCCAGAAACGACGACGAAGACTATGATGATGAAGAAGACGAAGAAGAAGAAGAAGAAGAAGAATCTCCCAAGTTGGTATTTAAATTCTCTTATCAGATCGAAACATTCGAAAGATTGAGCAGAGAAGGATACAGAGACGGAGATGGCGGCTTCCGGCGCTCCTCTCCTCCGACCGCTACGGCGGAGAAGTATGAAACTTTTCCGGCGAAGAATCTCAGATGCGTCGTGGAGGAACCGAAGGCGGCGACTTTTAGGGTTGGAGAATTGTTCTGTGAATCCATCAATGTCTCAGTTGAAGATATTGGTATCTTGCGGGGGAAATCAACCGATGGAAAATCAGAACTCTCTGCTTCAGGAAAGGACAGAACAGAGAGTTATGTTTCTGCGCGGAAGGATGAGTCTGAAGAGCTAGTGGAAGAAGAAAATTCTGATTTTCCCGAGAAAATCCTGTTCTTGACAGAGAATGATTTTCTTGAAAGCACGGATTCCAGTCAAACTTTCACCAGTCACGGTGGAGGGTTTCTATCAGATTCAGATTTCGAGGAACACTTTGGTTACGATACATCACCGGAGAAGGATTCCGTGGAAGAATCGCATAACAATGGCAAGAATCAAGAGGGGGGTTATGATCCAGAAGAAGAATCAAACGGTGGGTTAGAGAGCCTGTGGGAGCATCAGGATCTGATCGAACAGTTACAGATGGAGCTGAAGAAGGTGAAAGCCATTGGTCTTCCGACAATTCAGGAAGACGAAGATGAGAGTCCGAAGATAGTGGAAGATCTCAAGCCATGGAAGATCGAGGAGAAGAAGCTCCGACCTGTTGACACCATTGGCGAGCTTCATAAATTCTACAGGAGTTACAGAGAACGAATGCGGAAACTCGACATCCTAAGCTATCAGAAGATGTATGCTCTTGGTAAGGATTATATCTATGTATATATTTCTTAACTATTTTTAAAATTTATTTAGTTTGATATTTTATATAATATTTGGATCAGATGCCTATTTTAACCAAAACTCCCAATTGCTTATAATTATATACATATACATATACATATATATGTATAGTGCTGCTTTTTCAAAAGAAATATAGACGTTAAATACTTGTTAGTGTTATATTAACGTATCCCTTAATTAATTTATTTAGGTGACCACACCTTTTGCAAGTGCTATGTGACTAGTGATGGTCCAACCGAAAAAGCATATTATATATTTAATTTCATTTTAATTGAATATATAAGCAAGGGGAAAACGAAAGCCAATAGGAAAAAGAGATTGAGGAAGGTGAAATATGTTCATTGTCATATCTTTATTGGCCAACCCACCAACTGTTTTCGATAAATACTTCTTTTTTTTTATATAAGGTAAAGTTGTGATATTGATACTTATATATTTCCCTCAATATGTTTTCATATATTTGGTTTTCATAAGTTTTACGTTTAATTTGGATGCAAATGACCAATTCTGATCATTTCTGTTCTTTAAGGGCTTCTTCAGTCAAAGGACCCACTTCAAGCAATATCGGCCGTCGGATCCTCTTCTCCTCCGGCTTTCACATCGGTTTTCCCGGTTAGCCTCCAGTTACGGAAACCAAGAAAACCGGAAACCGAACCAATGGTTAAGTTCGTAAGAGAAATTCACGGCGAATTAGAAAACGTATACGTTGGCCAGATGTGTCTATCGTGGGAAATCCTTCACTGGCAATACGAAAAGGCCATCGAGCTTTGGGAATCCGACGCTTGTGGAGTCCGTCGGTACAACGAAGTCGCGGGAGAATTTCAACAATTTCAAGTCCTGATTCAGAGGTTTATGGAGAATGAACCCTTTGAAGTCCCAAGGATTCAACATTACGTCAAGAAACGTTGTGCTCTTCGTAATCTACTTCATGTCCCGGTTATACGAGGTATAAGAACCGATTAAACCGAAGCCGAATACGCGTCCAAATAGAATATGAAATCCGGTTCTTTGGTTTCAAGGGACCGACCGGTCTGGGTTGGCTGGACCGGGACTAACCGAAGACAATCGGCCTTAAAACCCGAACCTTTTAAAATGTTTCTGATGACAAAGTTTTGATGACATAACAGGAGATGGGGACATGGACAAAAGGAAAGGAAGAAGAAGAGAGTTAGATGACGCCACATACGAGAATGCAGTCACAAGCGAGCAACTTGTGGAGATTATGGAGGAATCTATTCGATTGTTTTGGAGATTCGTTCGATCTGATAAACGTTCTCGTTCGATATGTAAAGAATCTAGGACCAAATCCCAAGTAGAACCCGAAGATCCCGAGGAACTAGGCATGTTAGCAGATATCAAATCAAACCTTCAGAAGGTAAGTTTTTTTACGAACTCCATAGAGTTTTTACGCACGAAAACTCGTCATAACCGGATCTACGTATCGGGCTTTTCGTGATTTGCGTCGTAATTGCAGAAAGAGAAGAGATTGAAAGAAGTATTGAACAGCGAGAAATGCATCATAAGAAGGTTGAAGAAGAAACACGAGGAGGGAGAAGGAGAAGAAGGAGATCAAGAGCTTCACCTCTTCTTCTCGCAAGTGGACATGAGGCTGGTGGCAAGGGTGTTGAACATGTCCAAACTGACAAAGGATCACTTGGTTTGGTGCCACGACAAGTTGAGCAAAATTAACTTTGTAAATAGGGAGTTGCATTTAGACCCTCCTTCCTTTTGTCTCTTCCCTTGTTGAGCATCCATGTGGATATGTAAAATCCCATATAGCAAACTTTCATAACGTAGGAATAAAACCATTTTGATTTTGTGTTTTTGGGTTTATGATAGGACAATAAATAATAAACAAATTTCTTCAAAATTAGAAAAAAATACATATATTTATTTTTCGTAAAAAAAAGGATGATCGCAGTTTCTATCCGAATTTTATCGAGTATGGTTTGGAACATTATCCAAAATATCCTCTTTCTACTGAAACTATTTCTGCACATACCATCTTTCACATATGACCATGTGAACAGAATAACTATATAGTCGCATGATGGTCGCATTGGTCATAACGTTAAATTTATGGTGATTACATATCACACTAATTGTGAAATCATCAAAATTTTAACGTTGTAACCAATGTGACCATCATGTGACCATACAGTTATTTTGGTCACGTGGTTACATCTGGAAAAGGGTATGGGAAGAAGTAGTTTTAGCAAAAAGAGTGTATTTTGGATATTTTGCCGTATGATTTGAAGATAAATTAAACTAAATAGAAAACAAATTGAATTCATGTTTGATTTGTTTAGTTTTTTTTTCTTAATCGGGTTTATTGATATTTATCAATTTTTATTGACTATGACGAAATACGAATTAGATTCTATCGGTTCAGTAATATTTATTTGTAACTTCAATTCCACTCGGTTTATAAGTGGAGCATCGTTGGCGGGTGATTATAGAGTTAAGAATCGTCTGGGCTTTATTGACAAATGTAAAACATTATGTCATTAAATAGAAATACATGGAAACATCAGGGGGCTAAAGTAAATTAAATAAGGAAATATATGTGAACGAATCTCAGCCGTCAAAAAATCGGAAGATCGAGGGCTCCAAGATCAACGCCCATCTATAAACGCTCCATCTCTCTCTCACATCAGTTTTGTGTACGGACACATCACGCACAGAGCTCGGCAAAAAATGGTTCAATGGGTCGTTTACCGGTCGCGCCACTCGTACGCAACCGGGTCGAACCAACACCGCATCGTCAAAACTCTCGGTACGCATTGATGTGGCTCGATTGTGATTGATGTGTGTATGCGTGTGTAGGATTGATACTCGGCTGATGGGGAAAATCGGGAATTAGGGTTCCTGAGGTGAATTCGTTTAGGCGATTTTTCTTAATGTGCGAAGTTGGTTTACTGGACTACGAAGAAGAGAGCTGATGGGCCCAAGTGCCCTGTCACTTGCAAGAGAATCCAAGGGGTGAGTTTTCATTTGTAGATTTTTTGATTTCATGTGGGATTTCTGTCGGATATTTGTTCAATGTTATGCTTTCTGGTGTCGGTAGAGTGGTAAGGAATATCTCGGTTTCGGTTTTTGGATTGAATTTAGCATTCGTGGTTAGTGGAAATTATTTGAATTGACAATGTGTTGAAATTTGGCTTATTTTTCCAACGTTGCGCGTTGATGACCGGTTTCATTCTGAATGCTTAGCAAATTGACTTTTGGGGCTGTGGGTTCATGTTTTCGACTAAGGAAAATCATGTGATGTGTGCTTGAAGTGAAAGGGTCAACAGTCATTTGACTTTGGTTGAATTGCTTAGTCATTTAGGCATCTTTCAGTGTATTGGAGGATAAACCAAATCTTTAAGGCCTTGAAACAGAATGTGGAATGGAAGTGTTCGAAATTCAGACCTGGAATCTGTATAGGCTTTAGGCATTGATTTGCAATTGTGATGGTTGCACTTGGTATGCAAGTGAAGTGTTTCCCGTTTGGATCAAACTTGGTTAAATTTATTTTATGCGTCGGCTTGTTCCTACAATGCTAAAGAACCATCTTATGCGTTGTTACCTTTTGCTAATATTGCATAACATAACGTTTTTTTCAGCATTCGAATTTTCACAGTTTGAGCGTTCATCTGTTTATATATGGCCTGTCTCATTACGGGTTGTGGATGCAAGTTTTTTGGAGGTATATTGCTGATTCCGCATCTGAGACCTGCTGAGTACAAAAGGTCGAGGTTGGCAAGAAAAACCAAAGGACATTGAACAGTGCCTATGTTGGTGTCCTGTCTGAGGATCTAGCTTATGTTCTTCGCCATTATACTTGTATAAAGATAATCCAAGCCTTCTTGGTCGAGGAGCAGAGAATTGTGAAGAAGTTACTGAAGCTTCAGAAGGCGAAGGAGAAGCTACCCGCAAAGAGTTAGGGCGGAACCCCTCGAAAGCTAAAAACTTTATTGGATTTCACATGCACAAATTCTTGGCAGGGTCAGTAACATGAGTTGGATGCAAATTTTTTGGTTTGATACTGGCATTGCAATATGAGGCTTTGGTCTATGATTTCAGTTTCAGTTTGTTCAACCCAGAATTTTTTACGAATTCTTTTCAGGATTAGAGATGATACATTCGCTAGTAGCAGATATGCCTCCAGTAATATTCACCCGTGCAACGAAGAGCGAGAAACGAGCAATCTTCCGTCCCCGTAGGGTTTCGTTAGATGAATTTTCGGCACAATTCTCAGCCGCTCGTCCATGTTTCGGAGGGCAACACAAGGAATCTCCAGCGGCGGAGAGGAAACCTATGTTCGAAGTGTGTGTATAGACTAGAGATTAATGCCCTCTCGAGTCTTGACAGCATTCTATGGAGGCCTCGGAAGCTCTTGAAGTTGAAGAGTCTTGGTGTTTGGTCTGATACTATACTTGTACCTTGATGAGTGGAAGCACACCGAACCATAAGTGAACAATATATATATATATATATATATATATATATATATGTGTGTGTGTGTGTGTGTGTGTTATTTTGCAAGAAACAAAGAGTTTCAGTTCATTATCTAACGAAAAATAAAACAGAAATAAAATTGAAAATTCCATGCGTAGAATGCCTTTACAAGAATAGGTCTGAATTAATAAATACATTTATTTTTTATTAGGTGAGACGGCATTTAAATCTTTGGCATAGACAGCAACTACCATCGGCACTGCACCTGTCAAATGATGAGGCTGGCATGAGTTACTAAGTACTAAATACGGGGGGGGGCCCTGTAAATTTTGTTATGGAGATCAAATTATATTAAAAAAAAAAACAAATGATTTCCAAGAAATAGCGTGACATCGTAAATGCTAAATTTGCAAGATGCAATATCTGAATTATAATTTAAAAACTGATCAAAAGTTTGTTAATTTCTGTCTTTATACATAAGAAAAGAACACGTTATGATAATGTAGATTAACAATATAAAAATTGCATGAATAATCTTTGTGAGAAATACCCATTATTTTGTTTGACGTGTGATATTTACATACAAAAAACAAAATAGTGGAAATTTCGTTTTGTAGAAGAAGGATAGATAAGCATTAACATTAGAGGGGGGGCCCACAAAGATATGGGGCCAATGTAAGAGCTCACAAGCATACCCATGCCCGTTGCCATAATCCTACGGTCGACGTGCATAATGCAGTGTACTAAGTGGTCACTGACAATTTATTATTCGTTTCCCCTACTTGTGCAGCAAAGGACGACGACTCCAACTCATGTGGATTTGGGCCCCAAAATAACCCCTTCATTGATTTATGTAAATATTACACATCTACTTTATCTTTCCTCTTAGTTTTTACCCTCTATAGTGGATTTGGGCACTCGCGTATGCTCTCAAATGGACCGACGTGGTTACTTGCCATTCTGCCAAAAAGGGAAATTAAAAGAAAGTAATCATTTATATTTTACATACAAGTCCATCACAGATCCTAGTTATTATCCAAGAGTGACAATAAACCCAAATTGGGCAAAAAGTCTTATATATTAATGATTTATTAACTTTAGGAATTGCATTTTCTAATTTTTGTTTTTTGTTGCTAAGATAAGTAACTCAAAAGCACAAGAGAAATGATAATTCTCTCTATATATATGTATATAACACCCTAAATGAGACCTTCGTTCTCTCACATGCCTTCTCTAATGGCTTTGATGGTAAACTCACTTGAAATCTCCGTTGTCTTCTTCCTTATTAGCCTTCTCGCCATCTGTTTCTTCTTCTTCTTCATCAACAAGAAAACCCACGCCGTCTTCCCCACAAACTGGCCGTTTCTCGGCATGCTCCCTGCTCTGCTCCAAATGTTGCACCAAATCTATGACTATAGCGCCGATCTTCTCGAGAGCTCTAACATGACGTTTCTGCTCAAAGGCCCTTGGTTCGCGGGTATAGACATGCTGATAACCGTCGACCCTGCCAATATCCACCACATAATGAGCTCAAACTTCTTGAATTACACCAAAGGTCCCGAATTCAACGAGGTTTTCGAAGTTTTCGGGGAAGCCATATTCAACACGGACTCGGATCTGTGGAAGGACAAACGGAAATCGGCTCAGGTCATGCTCAACCATCACGGGTTTCAAAGGTTTACGTTGAGCACGACGGTGAACAAGATCAAGAAAGGGCTCGTTCCTCTCCTTGACCATGCCGCTAAGTTAAATGTCGCACTGGACTTGCAAGATGTGTTCCAGAGGTTCGCCTTCGATACGACCTTCTTCTTGGTTTCGGGGTTCGATGCCAAGAGCCTCTCCATCGAAATGCCGGAGGTTGAGTTGGCCAGAGCCTTGGACGACGCAGAAGAAGCCATTGTGTATAGGCATGTTAAGCCGAAATTCTTGTGGAGGATGCAGAATTGGATAGGGTTTGGATCGGAGAAGAAGATTAGAAGGGCTCGCGAAACGTTCGACCGTGTCTGCAGGAGATATATTTCTGTTAAAAGGGAGGAGATACGGACTGGGTTTCACTCAGAAGGAGAATCCATGGATCTGCTGACGTCCTACATGAATTTGGACACGACCAAGTACAAGCTCTTGAACCCTAAAGAGGATCAGTTCCTACAAGACATCATTCTCACTTTCATGGTCGCCGGGACAAACACCATCGCCTCCGCTCTCTCCTGGCTCTTCTGGATTCTCTCCAAGAACCCTAATGCTGTGGCCAAGATCCGTGAAGAGATCAGCACGAAACTGCCAAGCACCGGAAACCTCGAGCATTCGTTCGATCCAGCCGAGCTAAACAAGTTGGTGTACTTACACGGAGCGTTATGTGAAACACTGAGGCTCTATCCACCAGTTCCGTTTCAGCGAAAATCTCCAATAAAACCCGATATTCTTCCGAGCGGGCATAAAGTTGACGCGAAATTGAAGATTATATTCGCTGTTTACGCGTTGGGGAGGGCGAGGGCCGTATGGGGAGACGACGCATCGGAATTCAAGCCGGAGAGGTGGATTTCGGACAATGGAGGGTTGAAACACGTGCCGTCTTTCAAGTTCTATTCTTTCGGGACCGGTCCGAGAACTTGCTTGGGAAGGGACGTAGCTTTCGTGCAGATGAAGCTAGTAGCCATGGAGTTATTACAGAACTATGACTTTAAGGTTGTCGAAGGGCACTTAGTTGAACCAGTTGTATCCATGATCCTTCAGATGAAGCATGGTCTTAAAGTTACTGTTACCAAGATGTGCTTGGCTTGAAGGATATATAAATTTAATCCATGCAATGTTTTGTATACGTTTTTTTTAATTAAATGTGAGGGTAATAAAAAAAATGCATGTGTAATAGTAAGGGAATTGAAGTTGTTGTATTGATTAAAATATTTGAATTAAAATATTTGAATTTTATTCAAGAATTGAATGTATTATGTATTTAGATGCAAAGAATGACATTCAGCATTATCGAGAAAGGTTAATAAAACTATTTATATATATATATATATATACTGAGACGTTTCAATTCCACAATTTATTATGTGTATTTTTTCTCTCTCAATAATGTAATAACTTTTATTTTAAGATGCAAATTGACATCCAACATTAATTAAACGAGAAAGGTTAATAAAGCCAAATTTAATGAAAGAAATTTTCAATTGATTTTTTTTAAAAAATTGATAACTTTCGAGTTTATTCTTTTTATGAGTGTTTTTTTTCTCAATAATTGAATAAACTCTCTTGAGATGCAAAGAATGACATTCAGCACTAAGAAATAGGTTAATTAAGCCAACATTTTTATAGAGTACAAATTCAAATTGATTTTTAAAAAAATAAAAACTTAGATCAACATATAACTAAAGACTAAACAGACATTAATTAATTAGCAGTCTAAATTAGCTTTAATTAACTGTCAAAGAAATTTAAAACACTACATAGATGTGATTACAAAAACCGAACTGAAAAAGCCATCCTAGTTGTTAGTGGTGTACGAAGTCTCCGACAGCTCACTCCCACACTGCGCCGTCTCCGGCCACATTTCCGGCGCCGGAAAACCAAACCCTACCGTTCTCGCATTCCTCACTTCGTACAACCTCCATGTTAAAGTAGTTGATATGGTCGTTATTGTTGCTGTTCATGAATGATGTTTCCATTGAAACGTTGACGTTGTTCTTGGCACAGTTGTACGGAACTCCGAGCATCTGAGAGGTAAAAACTGCAGCTGCAGCCGAGGAGGAGGAAGGAGGAGGGAACGGTAAGGTGGTGATGACACTGTGTTCTTGATGAGCGATTTGGCTGAGGATGTCTGAAGAAGAAGAATAGGAAGCGAAGAGAGTTGAGGTTTGTGTTGATGACTGATGCGTGTTTTCTGGAATTTTCGGACAGATCCATGATTGTTGGAGTGTTCTTTGCGACGAAACTGAGTTCACTGTCTTCTTGAATATTCTGCATATCGCCCACGAATCCTGAAATGTTTTATGCATCGAAGAAAATAATGTTTTCAGAGGTTGTCATTCACATTCTGAAAACATAACCCTAATTCATGTTTCTGGAAAACCACGGTTACTTACGCAGCAAGGTAGGTCTTTATTGCTGAGATGGAGCTTCTTGGCATTGTTCGGAGAGTGATGATGATCGGAAGGAGAAGGGAGGCGAAACTCGTGCATCATCCAGTCGGTTTTGATGCCTTTGGCTGCGCGGCCGCGGTAGAAAACCAATGATTTCTTCAGCCCGATGCATTTGGTTCCGTCCGAGGAGTAGATCGGCCGGTCTGTTCCTGTTGCTTTCCAAAACCCAGCTCCTGTCACTCTGTTCGGCCTCGTGCTGTTCCTGTACTTCCTGTCTCTCGGACAATAAAAGTACCATTCTTTCTCTCCCATTGTCGCCAGTCCTTCAAATGAAACGACATCTCATTAGAGAGATATATATACAAATATGTAAATATTTATCTTGGTTTGAAATGGGCCGGGATCAAGAACATATAGACAAAAAAAGAAGGAGAGGTTAAATTTATTATAGTACTATTGCTTACTTGGAAGATCCCATGGATCGTATTTATAGATATCGACTTGCTTGATCAACTCAATGGGAAGAGATCTCTGCAGGATCTTCCTCTTCAGATAAAACCCTACGAGTTCCTCATCCGTGGGATGGAATCTGAATCCAGGCAACACGACGTCGTCGAATCTCTCCACGTTGCTCTGTTCGTCCATAACAAAGAGAAACTCTGTTGACTGAACAACTGACCAAGTCTCTGCCTTATATATATATATATGGAGAGAGAGAGAGAGGGTTTGCAAAACAAAGAGGTTTCTTAGAGAACAAGAAAGCTTCATTGGGACACGATATAATTGGACCGGAAAGTGATGCGTGCGTGCGAGTTAGGACCAATGTCTCTAGAAGATTTGGAGGGTTCTGCAGTATTTTATATATATGATGTTCTTGGAGTGTGTTTTATCTTGTTTTTGTTTTTCGAGTTATTCAAACTTCTTCTCAACGGTTGCTGAAATTGAGGCTATACACCGGAGCTTGAGCCGATCGATTAGGGTTTTAATTTAATCAATTCGGTAAGGGTAATTGAATAATTATATTTTTCTAAATTAAATAATGAAGACCCACTTCCATATATATATAATTTGTTATGATATAACACATAAAATTTTAGAAACTATTCTTGCTAAAAAGGTAATACAAATAAAATAAAGGGGTTTTGGAGAATCTATCTCACACAAGGGAAGTATTTTCAATTAGAATCGTAAATAATTTATAAATTTCAACCACTATATATATATATATACTAGTTATCTTCTGAAAGTATATTATTTGTGAACAGGATAACCTTGTTGGGATCAAAAGTGGTAAATCGTATATGATGGTATGAGATGTCAGACACTTTTCATTTTTTGCCCTTAAGATTTTTTTTAATAAAAAAAAATGCTTTGGTGAAAAGTTTGAAAAACAAGTGAAATTGATTCATTGGAAGAAACAATTACATTGCTTAAGCTTTGGTGTACATGTTTCCCTATTGGATAGCAGGTAGAAAACATTTGTCAAAAAAATGAAGATCTCGTGGTAAAAAAATAAATAAATACATATCCAAATGGGAAAAATCCAAATAAAATTAATTTCCCAAAACGAAAGAGACCTAGGGTTTTTAACCCCACCCAACTCTAAGTTATTGAGAAAATATGGTCAATATCTTTTAACCTAAGTTTTCTCTTTCTCTTTATTTGTGAAACATTCAATTCCGTAAAATAAAAATAAAAAAAAACCGCGCGTGGAAGCCAACTCTTGGGGCTCCTACATTATAATCACCCTTTATTTGTTTGGATTCGAAAATGTATTGGTGGAATTTATCGATTTAAATAATTAGTTAATATTTTTTTTAAATGAGGAATTTATATTTTAAAAAATAGTCAGTTGACATGTTTCCCGTTATTATGTTTTCAATTATCTATTTTTTTTCACCCCCTAATTATCTATTCAAAATTGAAGAATTGTTTTCAGCATATCCATAAGGCCCATAATATTATTGGGCCATCACTTGGAAGCTTGGGCCGGAAAGGGTTCTTTTGGTGATTTGACTACTTATCTCGGGGCAGTTTCGGTATTTTAATTTTTGCTCCCTCCCCTGAAAGATAAATCCGTTTTCCGCCATGTTGTCATTGATTGGTCTACATAATAATAACGTAAAGCCCAATATGTCGGCCCAATTGTAAATTACGAATGATTAGGGCCCAACAAAAATTTGCGCATTAGGGTTTCAGCTATCTGAGTGAAGTATATTAACCTTATTTCTGGTGATCCGGTTTCGCTTCGTGCGATCGTCTCTTCTTCGCTCCCTTGCCATGGTGAATGTCAGCTTCTACCGCAACTGTGAGCGCTCTCTCTCTCTATCTCTCTTTCTGTGTCAGATTTCATCTGGGATTTACTTGAAGAGAGTATTTGAACAGTCGTGTTTTAGATTCATGCACTCTTGCACTCTCAGGATTTTCTTGTGGCTCTAAGTTTATTCAGGGTTTCGTTTGATCCGGGTATTTGGATTCAGTGTGCTAGCTTTCACGTTTCTCCGGATTTTCACATATTCGTCTTTAAGGTTCAAATCGTCCGTTTCGTTTCTAAAGCCGGGCTCTTGGACGAACATTTAAGGAGTTTACATACGGCTTAGATTTTTTGAATTGCTGAGGGTTCTAGATCGGTGATGAACTTGGTATCTACCTGATCGATTTGTTTGTCAAGTTTAAATCTGACAACAGCTTAGGTTTGTCGAAGAACCTGTAATTACTAACACCCGATGACTCATGTTCTGGATTTTGTTATCAGATTTGTGTTTGATAGATATGGCTGTCAATATCATTTGTAGGTTCTATACATGAAAAGCAGAATAGTTCTGTAAACTGCTCTGTACTTGTTGTAATGTTAAAAAAATTGGATTGGTTTTAGATGGGAAGACCTTCAAGAAGCCACGTCGTCCCTATGAGAAGGAGCGTCTTGACGCGGAGTTGAAGCTCGTCGGAGAATACGGGCTCCGTTGCAAGAGAGAGCTGTGGAGGGTTCAGTATGCCCTTAGCCGGATCCGTAATGCTGCTAGGGATCTCCTCACTCTCGATGAGAAAAACCCTCGTAGGATCTTTGAGGGTGAAGCCCTTCTCCGCAGAATGAACAAGTACGGGCTTCTCGACGAAAGCCAGAACAAGCTCGATTACGTATTGGCTTTGACTGTCGAGAACTTCCTGGAACGTCGTCTCCAGACCCTTGTCTTCAAGTCTGGTATGGCCAAGTCGATCCATCACGCACGTGTCCTCATCAGGCAAAGGCACATCAGGTAATGGAAGTCATATCACATTGATTTTAGGCCCTGAAAACTAATTACATTTGACAGCTGATGGTTTTGATCTTGAAGGGTGGGGAGGCAACTAGTGAACATTCCATCGTTCATGGTGAAAGTCGATTCACAGAAGCATATAGACTTCTCCCTCACCAGTCCATTTGGCGGTGGCCGACCCGGAAGAGTGAAGAGAAGGAACGAGAAGGCCGGCGCCAAGAAGGCTGGGGGAGGCGACGGTGACGAGGAAGACGAAGAGTGAAACAGATCTTAGTAAAGCTTAAAAAGAATGGATCTAGACGTCGTGTCATGACTTGATGTGCTTTTTGTTTCTCAGTAACTTCCCCCTCGTATTCCCCTACTCGTGGTTCCTTCCTTTTCGGACCAATTACAGAACCGAATTAGCTGCGTTGTTCCTCTGTTGTCGGTTTCACGTTTATAGCCCACCGTGTCTGATCTTAATTCGTAAAACACTAATTTTGGTAAAGAAATTTGATCAAACCATAACAATAAAAAAGAAATTCGTAAAACATCACCACCATCATCATCATCACCATCATCATCATCATCATCATCATCATCATCATCATCATCATCATCATCATCATCATCATCATCATCATCGTATTTACATATAAATAAATAAAAAAGAGGATCTAACTCTAAGTAGAGTTTGATTATGCCTCCTCACCTACCGCTAACATGGCGAGTTCCCTCGTTTGCTTGTTCCCTTTACAAGTCGACAAAATTGGTTACTATTCTAGCAATTCCTACAATGCTAATCTCCAATTCACACATGTATCCTTATCATGTAACAATTTAATAATTAGATTATTGTCTTCGTTATAAATCTTTAATTTAATATTTCATATGGTAGCACATAGAAATACAATTATTTCCATTGAAAATTGGAAAATAATTTCATATAACGTTTTCAAGTGTTGATGTGTATTATGATCGAACGAAATATGCTTATTCAAACGATAATAATTACATTATCGTATCTAAATTGACAACCTTTCCACCCAAAAAACATGTTACAACACATATTGGGTGATAGTATGGATGACGAAAATAACATCAACCTATCAAAATCATTCCACATCCACCCTGAAAACCTATGATCGAATCTAGGTTTAACAATTTTTCTCTTATTTTTTGGATATATATATATATAATTGATATATTTTTTTTCTCGAGTTTGTATTTATGCATGCATGCATGCATACATTTACTTGGGTATGTATATACGCACAAAAAAATGGAAAACAAAACAGACTTAAAGGCGTGATGCGGTATTTGTTCATGCAAATACCGTATATATATATATATATATATGTATTAGAGTATACAAAAATTTTATTACCGGAATATCGATAATATATGATTAGAAAAATACAAGATATTGATTTGATTTAATCGATATCAAACACATAAAATTAATATTTGAAAATTTAATTAACTCTAATCTTATTGATTAGTGTTGTAGTGATCTTATATATTCCAACAACAGTGGTATTCCCCAAAACAAGATAAATTCGAAATATAATGGGATAATTTGGAATGCATTTTGATTTTTCTATTTATATATTGTTTGGTGCACTTAATTGTTTGATAAAAAAAAATGGAAACTATCTATATTTATCTTTTGTTTGGAGAACATTTATGTACTTCCTATCTTGAAATTAATATGTGGACATCCTTCACATTAATGATTCAGTAATTGTCTAAATATGACCATGTTGAAAATGAAGATTTTAATTTTTAATATGTTTGGCATGATTATTATAATTATGGTAAGATTTTCTTGGATGTTATATTTTTATTTAAAAATATTAGTTTAAAATTTTAACACTATCAAATCAATGACTGTCCTGTTATTTAAACACGTGTCAGCTTGAGATAAGATTCCGTGTGTTACTGTTATATATGCGTATCTGCAGTAGACCATTTACAAATTGGGATTACATATTTATCTGAAACTTTGATAGAAGATCTTGTATTCTTATTCAACAATTTGAAATATCTCTAACTTTCATCATCCAAATACAACAGCGAGTAAGTTAAATTATCTATAATAGATATATAATTCTTTTTCTAATCTTTTTAAATTGAACAGTTATCATTAAAAAAAAATCCATTTTTTTCTATTATAATTACTGTCCCCTCCGTTAACATGAATCTCCCTCTCTTTTTCGTGTCTTTGACAACTGGTCTTCAACACTTCTCTCTATAAAGACATTCATCACCCGTTTCTCTCTCTCTCTCTCTCTCTTTCTCTGAGTCAATGGCAATGGTCTAGAAATCCCACTGAGTCAGCTCGTCTCGGTCGCTAGAACTCGGGTCTTCTCCACTTTCTCCGCTTCCGTAAACCCCATCTTCTCCGAGTTCTGTCTGTAAAAATGGCAGAGACGGCGGCGGCGCAGGCTGTTCCACCGGAGACGGAGAAGAAGAAGGAACAGAGCTTGCCTTACTTCAAGCTTTTCTCTTTCGCCGACAAATATGATTGTCTCTTCATGATCACTGGTTCACTTGGCGCCATTGTCCATGGCTCCTCCATGCCCGTCTTCTTCTTGATCTTCGGCGAAATGGTTAATGGGTTTGGAAAAAATCAGATGGATTTGCACAAACTGACCGACGAAGTGTCCAAAGTAATCAACTTTAGATCCAAGATCTGCTCTGTTCATTACCGTTAATGTTCGATAGTCAAACTCATAATTAATCTTTTTCTTTCTGTCTGAAAATTGCAGTATGCTCTGTATTTTATCTACCTGGGCCTTGTGGTGTGCTTCTCTTCATACGCAGGTCTGAAAATTTTCTTCACTGTAGAACAATATGATATTGAACTCAGATTGAATCCTCGGGGATAAAATTACAAATCTGTTTTTTTTTTCCTCTACGATTTAATTTTAAAAAGGTAAGCATAATTCGAATCCACGTGATACATGGGCTGCTACTGTGTCCGTTTCTTCTCAGCCATCGTCTCTCACGTTTATTGTGCTTCATCCTTAACTGGTAACTGAATCAAAAAAAAAAAAAACAGAGATTGCATGTTGGATGTACACTGGAGAAAGACAAGTAGGTGCTCTCAGGAAGAAGTATCTTGAAGCTGTTCTGAAACAAGATGTCGGATTCTTCGACACCGATGCAAGAACCGGAGACATCGTCTTCAGTGTCTCCACAGACACTCTTCTCGTCCAAGACGCCATTAGCGAGAAGGTCATAACTTTTTTTTTTTTTCTAGTTTGCAAATTTTCTCATTGCTGTCCACAGATGTATCGCTGTCTGAAATTCAGACAGGACAGTCAAAATTCGCATATTTGGATTTAATTGCGGGACCCCTTTGCTCTTTGAACGAGCTAGATGACCAGAGCCCTCCGCTGCGTACGTTAGTGACCGGAGTTAACGTGCGCCTCCTCGGGTGCGGCTCTTGCCCGGGCCTGATGCGCACGTTAGCGGGAATGAATTAACCTGCGATTGGGGCCCGCGAGGAGATTAGACATCCTTTGGTTGATTTGGGGTGTTCAATTGAAGTGGCATAGTATCTGGGTAGGTGAAAAGATTTACTTTTTTTGTATAGGTTCCGATCATAAACCCTTTGTTTATCTCTCTCAGGTTGGCAATTTCATACACTACCAGTCAACATTTTTGGCGGGACTAGTTGTTGGTTTCGTGTCCGCATGGCGATTGGCTTTGTTGAGCATCGCGGTGATTCCCGGAATTGCTTTCGCCGGCGGTTTATACGCTTATACGCTCACCGGAATCACGTCGAAGAGTCGAGAATCATATGCCAACGCCGGTGTGATCGCCGAGCAGGTAATTGGCGTGAATTATTTTCAATCATTTGGTTTTTGATTTTTGTATGACTACCAAGTGTTCGGTATAATGTCTTTGTACGGTCTCGTGCTTGTCTCACTGAATCCAAGACCTGGGAGCAATGATTGTTCATCGATTTACCTATAATGCCACCTTTTTGGCCAAACTTTTTCGTAAAATCTTGTGGCTTAAGTTTAGAGGAGAAATCATTCGAATCGATGTTAATGATGGGGAATTTCTGGGTGTTAATTCTTATCTGAATGATGTATATCAGGCAATTGCTCAAGTTCGAACTGTCTACTCGTATGTCGGGGAGAGCAAGGCTCTGAGTTCATACTCTGATGCGATTCAGCACACGCTCAAGCTCGGATATAAGGCTGGGATGGCGAAAGGCTTGGGTTTGGGATGTACATATGGAATAGCATGCATGTCGTGGGCTCTCGTGTTCTGGTATGCTGGCGTTTTCATCAGGAATGGACAGAGTGATGGAGGGAAGGCGTTCACTGCCATATTTTCAGCCATCGTCGGTGGAATGTAAGAACATGAATATGAAATCCATGATTGTCGGGATATTTCCATTCTCTTGGCAATGACTTTGATTTGTGTCTTTTGTTACATAGGAGCTTGGGGCAATCGTTCTCGAATCTGGGGGCCTTTAGCAAAGGTAAGGCAGCCGGTTACAAGTTAATGGAGATAATCAACCAAAAACCATCAATAATCCAAGACCCGTTGGACGGGAAATGCTTGGATGAAGTTCGTGGAAATATTGAGTTCAAAGATGTAACCTTCAGCTATCCTTCGCGGCCTGCTGTTATCATCTTCAGGAATTTCTCTATTTTCTTACCCGCTGGGAAAACTGTGGCGGTGGTTGGTGGGAGTGGCTCTGGCAAGAGTACAGTTGTCTCCCTCATCGAGAGATTTTATGATCCAAATGACGGTGATTGATCATGAAACTTTTATTTTTTCGTAAGCAGTTCAAGTATGTGGCCTGAGAGTGGTTCATAATTCAAGCCTATTTTCTTTCCAAGCAGGGCAAATCTTGTTGGATGGTGTCGATATAAAGACCCTTCAATTGAAATTTTTGCGCGATCAGATCGGGCTTGTGAATCAAGAACCAGCACTATTTGCTACTACTATACTCGAGAACATACTCTATGGAAAGCCTGATGCGAAAATGGCTGAGGTTGAAGCTGCTGCTTCTGCTGCAAATGCCCATAGCTTCATTACCTTGCTTCCCGATGGCTACAATACACAGGTATTTCAGATATGAATGTATTCCTCACATTCGATATATGTACAAGGAAATGTCGAAACATTTAATTGATCTTTCCTTCAAAACCCAGGTTGGAGAAAGAGGCGTTCAACTTTCTGGTGGGCAAAAGCAGAGAATTGCAATCGCTAGAGCGATGTTGAAGGACCCAAAGATTCTACTGCTTGATGAAGCAACAAGTGCTCTCGATGCCAGCTCAGAGAGCATTGTTCAGGAAGCTCTTGATAGGCTCATGGTAGGGAGAACCACTGTCGTGGTTGCTCATCGCCTTAGCACCATAAAGAACGTCGATTCGATTGTGGTTATACAGCAAGGACAAGTTGTTGAAACTGGAAACCATGAAGAACTCATTGCCAAGGCCGGAGCATATGCCTCTCTTATCAGATTCCAAGAAATGGTGGGCACCCGAGATTTCTCAAACCCGTCAACACGTCGATCTCGTTCTACCCGTTTGAGTCATTCTCTCTCGACGAAATCGCTCAGCCTTAGATCAGGAAGTCTGAGAAACCTGAGCTATTCCTACAGCACAGGAGCCGATGGCCGGATTGAGATGGTTTCAAACGCGGAGACAGACAGGAAAGCTCGTGCACCCGATGACTACTTCTTCAGGCTTCTCAAGCTAAACTCCCCGGAATGGCCTTACTCAATCATGGGCGCTATTGGCTCGGTCCTTTCCGGCTTTATTGGCCCGACATTTGCTATCGTGATGAGCAACATGATCGAGGTCTTCTACTACTCAAACTACGGTTCTATGGAAAGAAAGACTAAGGAGTTTGTTTTCATTTTTATTGGTACTGGTCTCTACGCTGTGGTTGCATATTTGATCCAACACTATTTCTTCAGCATAATGGGAGAAAACCTCACCACGAGAGTTAGAAGAATGATGCTGTCAGGTATTGTGTTTCATCATTATACTCAAATTGCCCGAATTTCGATCTTTCATTTACAAGGAACTTCTGAAAATCTTCATCTGGGTTATACCCAAATTACACTGAAAAACCTGAGCTTTCCCCCTGAATTATATTCCATAACTGATGATGTTCGTTTCTTGTCTGTTCTAGCCATTCTGAGGAACGAGGTTGGATGGTTCGATGAGGAGGAACACAACTCGAGCCTTGTTGCTGCCCGGTTGGCCACGGATGCGGCTGATGTGAAATCTGCAATTGCCGAGAGAATCTCGGTGATTCTGCAGAACATGACCTCACTTCTCACATCCTTCATCGTTGCCTTCATAGTGGAATGGAGAGTTTCCCTTCTCATCTTGGCCACATTCCCTCTTCTAGTCCTCGCCAACTTTGCTCAGGTACTACATTTTATCCCTCCAACCTTTACATTCTAAAGAATTCTAAGAGTCATTTGAGTATGCATACTGAAAAATGTCCAAGTAAATACCAAACCCCGAATCCGTGAATATGAAATGGATCTTTGCTTTCGAGTTTCTGCATCTGGTTTGGATCTGTGGAATCTTGCCTTCACCATAATGATATCAGGAAAAAACGACAAAGCCATCTTTTCTCTAGGAAAAAAAAAACCCCAGAACTTTCAACACATCTCTGCTGCTTCTGCACGTGCTCTCCCTCAATTCCAGTGATATTTTTTTCTCTCTCTCAATAATAATCATAAAAGAAAAAACAATGAACTTTGTTTTGGAAATTGGTGTAAAGGTCAAGATCATGGAAACCCATCAATAAATGTGAAGAACAGTAAACTTTATTTTCTGGGCTACTGTGAAGAATATTTATTATATAGATAACAGTGTTCACTGAAATAGCAAAGATTCCTCTGTCTTTTCACCCATATCTGATTCTTTGTTTTCATTGTGGTAAAAGTTTTCCTACTTCAAGATTTCAGATTTACTGCCTCTCTGTATCTTACCAACTCTGTTGTTATTAAATTCTAAACTAAAAGAAAGAAAAAAAAAATCTATTTTCACTTGTTCATTTCTTTGCTTGTGACAGACAAGTTTTTGTCTGCTACTCTGGTACGGTGCGTGTCAGTTCTTCCTGTCTGATTTTTACAGTCCAAAGAGTTATAATTAATCTGTGTTTTCCTTTTTTTTTCTTTGTTCCAGTTTTTGTTTCAGAATTTCTTTGTTGAAATCAAACTTATACAGATATGATATATGTATGCACATTCACTTGTAGATCCTATCCGTTTTGGTTCTGCGGTTAATCTAATTGAATACTGTTGCTGCAAGTAAAAACCTGCATATCCGTTGTTCAACATCATTTAAACTTATGTGTAGGGTCTTTGATTGAAGTGTAAATCTTTGAACTGGGTCATGTAGAGTGGAACTGTTTCATTCTTCTCACTGCCCATTTGATTCATCGTTGGTTAGCAGCCGATGCTTAACTATGCATTTTCGGCTGGAATTGTGCAGCAACTATCTCTCAAAGGCTTTGCTGGCGACACAGCCAAGGCTCATGCAAAGACTTCGATGATAGCCGGTGAAGGAGTCAGCAACATTAGGACGGTTGCAGCCTTCAATGCTCAGGACAAAATCCTTTCTTTGTTCAGTCACGAGCTTCTTGTCCCTCAGAAAAGAAGCCTAAGACGCAGCCAAACCTCGGGATTCCTCTTCGGCCTCTCCCAGCTCGCTCTCTACGGGTCCGAGGCTCTTATCCTCTGGTATGGCGCCCGCCTCGTTGGCAAAGGCGAGTCCACCTTCTCCAAAGTGATCAAGGTCTTTGTTGTTTTGGTCATTACCGCAAACTCGGTTGCTGAAACCGTCAGTCTTGCTCCCGAAATCATCCGGGGCGGTGAAGCAGTCGGTTCGGTTTTCTCCGTCTTGGACAGGCAAACCCGGATTGATCCGGATGATCCCGACGCTGACCCTGTTGAGACAGTGCGTGGAGAAATTGAATTCAGGCATGTCGACTTTGCTTACCCGTCTAGGCCTGACGTGATGGTGTTCAAAGACTTCAATGTCAGGATCCGAGCCGGGCAGAGTCAAGCTCTTGTTGGGGCCAGTGGGTCGGGGAAAAGCTCTGTTATTGCATTGATCGAACGCTTTTACGACCCAGTAGCCGGGAAAGTGATGATCGACGGGAAAGATATCCGGCGGCTAAACCTGAAGTCTCTGAGGCTAAAGATCGCTCTAGTGCAACAAGAACCGGCTCTTTTCGCAGCAAACATCTTTGAAAACATCGCATACGGGAAAGAAGGAGCAACGGAATCCGAGGTCATCGAAGCAGCACGAGCGGCAAATGCTCACGGTTTCATCAGCGGATTACCCGAGGGATACAAGACAATGGTGGGCGAGAGAGGAGTACAATTATCCGGTGGACAGAAACAGAGGATCGCCATCGCAAGAGCCGTCCTCAAGAACCCCAGAGTTCTGCTCCTGGACGAGGCAACGAGCGCCTTGGACGCAGAGTCGGAATGCGTGCTGCAAGAGGCTCTAGAGCGGCTAATGAGGGGTCGGACCACAGTTGTGGTGGCTCACCGCCTCTCCACAATAAGAGGGGTCCACAAGATCGGAGTGGTTCAGGACGGGCGGATCGTCGAGGAAGGGAGCCACTCCGAGCTCATCAGCCGGCCGGATGGTGCGTATTCCAGGCTCTTGCAGCTTCAAAGCCATAGGATTTAAACATTTGCTTTGAAGGGTTTGTTCTTATATATATATGAATCTGGGCTTAATCCATACTTGGATCGTCTGATTTAAATGTAATGTAAGTTTTTCATCCGCATATATATTTCGTATTCTGTGATATAATGAAATAGGTGTAGATTCTGTCATGGTTTCTGCAGAAGAAGCTTATGTGATATGAGAGGAAATTATGTTTGTATTATTAGTTATAATTTCCTTGATTAAAACCTTATGGACTTTGGTTTATTTAGTCATAAATCATAAAACACCTTTGACAAATTACCACAAAACAACAACAACAGATGCTCCTAACGTGAATGTGAAAATGATATTTGATTACTAATATACAGAGATTGTGAAAAATCATGTCTCTGTTTTTAATTATTGGACTGACGAAAGGTACCGAAGCATGAATTATATATATATATATATATATATGAATACGCGTATTTGGATCTCAATAATTAATCATTTGAAAAACGAAACCAAAGTCACCAACTTTGAAGTTCTTTCAATCAGTCTGTTGGTTTCTTGTGTTTCTCTTCTTCTGCATGTGCATGGTTTGCTCAAATGTCTATTTAAGATACGGACCAAACCTTGTCTATAATGTATTCTCTCCACCTTCCACATGAAGGCTTAAATATATATATATATATATATATATATATATATATATACACACACACACACTCTTACCCGATAGATTGATGATTTTTTTTTTTTTAAATTA